TAGGCAATAACTTCCTAAATAGCGCTCCAGTGGCTCAGCAACTAAGAGAAAGAATTGACAAATGGGACTACATGAAACTAAAAAGCTGCACTGCAAAGGAAATGATCACCATCACCAGACTGAAGAAACAGCCCACAGCATGGGAGAAAATCTTTGCGAGCTATACATCTGACAAAAGATAAATAAGCAGAATTTATAGGGCACTCACTAAACTAAACTCCCAAAGAATCAATGACCCAATGAAGAAATGGGCAAATGAACTGAACAGAGCTTTTTAAAAGAAAGAAATACAAATGGCCAAAAACCACATGAAGAAATGCTCAACATACCTGATCATAGAGGAAATGCAAATCAAAACCACATTAAGATTCCACCCCACTGCTATTGAAATGGCTATCATCAGGAACACAAACAACAAGTGCTGGTGAGAATGCAAGGAGAAAGGAACCCTCATATACTGTTGGTGGGGATGTAAATTAGTATCCAACCACTATGAAAAACAGTGTGGAGGCTCCTCAAAACACTAAAAATAGAACTATCATATGATAGTCCTAGGTATGTTAGAAGGAATGTAAGTCAGGATACAATAAAGATACTTACACACCATGTTTATTGCAGCATTATTCACAATAGCGAAGCTATGAAAACAGCCCAGATGCCCTACAACTGATGAATGGAAGAAGAAAATGTGATTATACACACACACATGTATTATACACACACACACACATACTCATAATAGAATTTTATTCAGCCTTAAGGAAGAATGAAATTTTGTTATTTGCAGATAAATAGATGTAACAAGAGAACATCACCTTAAGTTAGCCAGGTTCAGGAAGACAAAGGTTGGATGTTTTCCCTCATATGTGGAAGATAGATCCAATACAAATGCAAGCATTATCGTATGTACATATAAATACAGACAGAACATGTTTCCAAAAGTGGAACTGTTAGAAGAGACTGAGGGAGGAGGAAAAGAAGAAAGGATGATTGAGAGTGAATGATAATGAAATGTATCATATCTATGTAGGAACAAGACACAATAAAACACTGAAAACTGTTGAACAATACAGGGTAGTAGGAAAAGGGTCAAGGAAGAGTAGTGGGAAGGTTAGATTGATTTAAGCACAGTATAATTACAGGTAAAATACCAACACAAAATCCCCACTGAAGAGTGAAGGAGAGGAATTTAAAACAGGTCATATTAAGGGGAGGGCATTAGTGGGAGGGTAAATTAAGAGGGTTAAGGAGGGTGAATATGGTTGATGTACTTTCTGTACATGTATAAATATGGAATATTGAAACATGTTGAAGTCACTTTAAGAAGGGGAATGGGACCAGGTGCTGGTGGCTCACACCTATAATCCTAGTTACTCAGGAGGCAGAGATCAGGAGGATTGAGGTTCAAAGCCAGAATGGGCAAATAGTTCATGAGACCCTATCTAGAAAATACCTAACACACACACACAAAGGCGTGGTGGAGTGGCTCAAGGTACAGGCCCTGCGTTCAAGCCCCAGTACTGCAAAACAAAACAAAAACAAAACACCCAACACAAAACAGGGCTGGTGCCGTGACTCAGGTGGTAGAGCGCTTGCCTGGCAAGCGTGAAGCTCTGAGTTCAGACCAACCCAAGTACAGCCAAAAGAAAGGCGGGGGAGGTATGGGAAGGAGGGAGAATAATGGAGGGGATGAACCAAATCGGGGTTTAATACATGTGTGTATGGAAATGTCACAGCAAAACTCTTTATGTAACTATCATATGCCAATAAAAATGTTAAAATGCTACATAGTGCAAAAAAATTAAACAGCAATTTAGAACCAAAAAAAATTCTTTGTAATAAAATTTGGAATAGATCAGTCGTGCTGTAAGAGAATCCTATTTGCAAGTATCATTCTCTTCTAGTATAATTTAAACATGTTCTAATTTGTGAAAACTTCATTTTCACATAATTCGGTTGGTTTTTTTGTAAAGAGAAAAAAAAAAGGTACATGTCAGAAACATTTTCTTTTTTATTTTTCTTTGTTTTTTGAGACAGTTTCTGGCTGTGTAGCCCAATCTGACCTAGAATTCTTAGTCTTCCTGCCTCACCTTCCTGGAGTGTTGTTATTACAGATACATACCACACCCAGTTTACAGCATTTTCTTAATCTTAATCTTAAATTACAGTAATAGTTAAAAAAGTATCTTACATTTCTCATAAGGAATTCAAAAGTATGGAAATACAGAGAAGAAAAAGTCAAGCCTTGTTTTCCTTGTTGCTGTTTTGGTATATATTCTTGTATTCTGTGCATTTATAGACATGCATAACTTATAAAATATGTGTATCTATACATGTACATGCAAACAATAGTTTAAGAATATATGACCCCTATTAATCACTTTTTCTTGATTGGGAAATCTGGCTGTATTCTGTATTACCAGACATTGTACCTTATAATTTTGAAGGCTGTTTTAGAAAGTAAAAGCTCACTTGATGGTCTTTGGAAAGAGAATATATTGAGCAACAAATATAGGGACTAATATGTACTGGCCCAAATAGCAAGTTAAAGTTACAGATTCTGTATGAATAGAAACTCCGATTCTGAGTTGAAAGCCGACTTAGGTGGCCCAATGATTTTAAGGGATGACCTTGGAGAGGTGAGGATTCTGGTGAGCAGTTAGAATGGTATGTGACAAACACAGATTTGTGGAGAGTAGAAGTAAGGTTTTGTGGGTGGAGGACCCACTGGATGCTGGTGGTGTCAGAGGTGGCAAGTTGATTGTAGGGAAGGCTGGCGGGAGGAGGAGGTGGGGAAGTTGAGAGGTCAGTGAAAAGAACACTACTGTTCTCAGCAACTATAGCTCTTCTGTGTCAGCAGCTATAGCTGCTTTGGTTGGACTCAACAGGAGTGTAATAAAACTGAGGTCTTTGAGTTGTGAACCAGAGAAAATGAGATGGCTCTGTCTGTGAAGATGGAGCTTGTTATTAAACAAGCAGAAGCTCAAGGTCATAAGTAAGGGAAATTGAAATGAGATTCCTGTTTTCTAAAATAATTGTTCCGGTGGCTAAATTTAGTGTAGTTGGGAAGCCAGGCAAGGAGAAGCCTTCAAGGGAAGCAGGTGTAGACAGACATCAAAGAAAGGGCAAGTATTAGATGTTAGGTAGATAAATGCAGAGATGTTATTTAGTTTTTGCTCTGAAATTACAGAAGAGGCACATCTATGAAGTTCCAGTTGTTAGCAAATAGAAGGTGCTTAGTATTTGCCTTTTCTTCCTGTGGATACCCATGGTTGATTGGATTTAGAGGGAAGGGGCAGAGAGGGAGACCACCTCACATTAAATTGGGAGGGACCATGGCTGAATATCTGCTTTAATGCTTCACATACTTTTGAGTGGCAACTGCACACTCCATTTTTGTCTGATTTTGAGTGATGAGCTATTTTACAGCAATTTAAAGAAATGCCAAACTTGTATTTGCACGATTAAGTTTGTGACCTAATTTAATGAGTCTAGCAACCCTCCCCCTCTCTTCACTGTACTCCCCAAATTTCCTCCTATTCCTTGGGGAAGAGTGTCACCTGTTCTTATACCCTAGTTCCACCTGGGTCAAAACTCATCTGTCAGTGGTGGCAGGAACACTTCTCCTGGAGTTAAGGGATCATCTCTTTTAACAAGCTTTTTCCCTTTTCCATTTCTTTTGAGTATTGTCTTTCCAAACTTCCAACCCATTGTCTTAATTCTGAAAGATTGCTACCCCTTTGGTGTTTTGTTTTTCCAGAAGGGATTCAAGATAACTTAAATTAGAAACAACTTAGCTCAGCTCACTCTAGCCTACCTTATAGTTCAAGCAAGTAAATGTCTTTATGTCATGTGATGCAATGGAGTAAGACCTGCTTGAGCTTGTGAACAAAAGGGAACCCAGACACTGCCAGTGACACTGTCCCTGCTTGCTCTCTTCCTTCCGAGGCCCAGGAGGCACAGAGTCACTGTAGAGCTTCTGAGGGCTCTGATGGTCATAATTGAGGCCTTGACAGTGGCCTCTCTGGGACAGGGATTGGCTGCTGCTAAGCCCCATTTTACTTGCATATTCAAACATGAGAGATGGATTTGGATCTCAGAGAAACCTTCTTGGACTTTCTTCTCCCCCATAAGAATATATCCTGCCCAGCTCCTGATCCTGCCTGGTCTAGCTTCTCCTGACTAGAGCACAGGGTGGGTACTTGTTGGCTCAGGTTCTTTGTAACTTAGGAAGATTAAAGACATCAAAACCTCAGTCGCCAATACAAACTCTCCTGTGATCCACTGTACCTCTAAACCAAAAGAATGTGTTCCTGCCCTATGTGCTCTTCTTTTTGTGAAAGCTCCCTATCTGTGGCCAAAAATGATGCTAGCCTTCCTCTGCAAAGATGTTTTATTTAGCTACAACAGCAGAGAATTTTTTATGGGTTTGTTTTCTTTCTAAACAGGTTTCTTTTTGCTTTCTAAACTTCTCCAATATACAGGCCCTCCCCATGGATAGCTATAATTATAATATACACTTGGGAGAGGGCTGGAGACTAGCTGGAGAGGTGCCTTCTATGTAAAGGCATCTGGTTGGGTCTGAAAGAGGAGAGCAAAAGGGCGATGTGGATTTTGAAGGATCTGAGTCTGGATTTGTGGAACGTAATGATGGCAAAACTAATGATTGTTCTTTTTAAAGGGACCAGGTCAATTTTGTTACCCTGTGAGGTTTCAGATACAAGGGACTGCCCCTCTGGATGATGGGAGGCAGAGAAGGCTCTGGTGGCATTTGTTGGCACATGGCTCTTCTGCCTCCAAGGTCTGAAAATGTCAAGCCAGGTACCACACATTTCAGCTTCCTCCTCTGAGATCATGCTCCAGAGCGTTAGAGCAGAGTGTTTCAAAGAAGCATATTATATGAACACAGGACATATGATAAGAATACAAAATAACCTGTGGAACATTTTATTACAATTGTCCGGACTCAGTAAGTCATCTGTGCATTTTTTTCCTCTTAGGTTCATTTTCCAGACACTGAAAGAGCTGAATGGCTAAATAAGGTAAGATTATAATATTGCAAATGCCAGCTATCAGTGAGACTTAGAAGATGCGAGACCATCTTTCCATATTTGGGAATTTCAATGTTGACAGCATTGAAGTTCTTTTGACTGCAGTGAGCTGGCTTCCACTCCCGAGAATTCAGTCACAGGCTGCATGCTACATTCCTTTCTGAGGAGGGAGAGCTGTGTCACTGACCTGAGAAGACACAGCGCACTTGCGTTGCATCGCCATCTGGCCTTGGTCTTCCTTCCTGAGTAGACAGTGCTCAAGTCTATTTTACAATAATCATAAGCGGGAGTTCTGGAAACATTGTTTCCAGATAACTCCCAATAAACCTAGCAATTTACAGTATTTTTAAAGAGATACGTTTTTGGATCAGTACACCTTGAACTTAGTGCCTTTTACCTTGTGTGTTTTGCATCTGTAGGGCTATGTTGGGAACACTAACCTAGACAGTAATCACCCTACAACACTGAAAGTTAAGTCTGTTGCTCAAAAATAACCAAATGAAAAAGAATGAGTACTTACTGAGATCTGTGTGACTTAAGGTTCCCAGCAGTGGGTGGACCCCACAGGATTTTTAGTAATCATTAGATGTGCTGATATGTTTAAGCAGAATATTTAACAAAATAATTAATGCCTGCAACATGTTGGCTAATTAGTAATTTGTTGTGATACATTAAGTTTAAACATTAAAAGTATTCATTTCTCATAAAAAGACCATTTCCCCCTTTTATTTTCAAAACCAGATTCTAATAAACTGCAGGATTATAGTTCTTTATGCTGACTCAGGTTTTACATATTATAATGATTAGTTTACACTGGTTCCTCTTCCTTACAGACGGTAAAGCACATGTGGCCTTTTATTTGCCAGTTTATCGAGAAGCTGTTTCGAGAAACCATAGAGCCAGCTGTTCGGGGAGCAAATGCCCACCTCAGTACCTTCAGCTTCACAAAGGTGGACATGGGTCAACAGGTCAGTTCGTTCTTCAGTGTCCTTCTTGTACACTCAGTAGGATTACTATGAAGATATAAAAACATTTTAAACCACTCAAATGTTCTGGAAGGAATGTTTCACCAAGAGGCCCAACTGGTATGCCTACACTCTTTCTCTCAAGATCTGTCTCCTATGTGTCATGTGCTGACTCTTCCTGCCTGTTGGGGAGCCCACATGTTGCCCTCACTCTCACTGAGCTGTTCTGGCCAGTTCAGCCCTCACCCTGAGGTTTCTCTTTAATGTTTGCTTTGCCTACCATAGTGTGTCTTCCTGCCCTGTATTCTTTCTGGTAGAATTCAGATTACAGTCTGTCTGTTTATAGAGTTTGAGATGTGAGCCAGGTACTGGTGGCTCATGCCTATAATCCTAACTTCTCAAGAGGCAAGAGCAGGAGCATCTTAGTTTGAAGCCAGTTAGGGCAAATAGTTCACAAGACCCTATCTTGAAAAAAACCCTTCACAAAAAAAGGGCTGGTGGAGTAGCTCAGGGTGTAGGCCCTGAGTTCATATCCCAGTACTACAAAAAAAAAAAAAAAAAGTTTGAGATGTGAATCATACTGAAGTTCAGTAGTTGACAACAAGTTTTATATGTTTATCCTCTCGAGATGTTAAAACAGCACTGACATTGATTGTTGGATCAAGTTCATTACGCTGGTGAAAGGAAAGATGGATTTACTTAGTGGAATCATCATATAAAAAGGAAAGCTGCTGGTTGCTAGTATCACTTCTTATGAAAGCCCAAGGCTAAATTACTCCATCATGGCAAATGTTCCTTTTTTACGTGTGTTTATTTGTTTATGGTTTTTTCCTTTGAGATAGGATCTCTCTGTGTATCCAGGCTGCCCTCAAACTTCCAGTCCTCCTGCCTCAGCCTCTCAAGGATTATAGGCGTGTACCACCACACTCAGCTCTGTGTTTGATTTTTCAAGTCAGTTTTTACAAGAGTTAGCAGCAGTTTAGGGTAACATTTTTATATGCCTCATAAAAACTCAGAGTCTGATCCTACTTTTAAGCACACATATAGTTCACACACCTCAGTACACAGACAGAATGCAGGTATCACTGTGTAATATAGCTCAGGACTAAAACAGGTGCAGCCAAGGGAGTGTCTGACAAGTGGCTGGGCGTGTCATCTGCTGACTTTGTCAGTGTCTGTCCTGCTCTCTAGGCTGCTGGTCATTATCCCCCATCAAAGCTGATTTTCTTCATGCAGAGAATGCTCTGTCTCTTCAGCATTTATTCTAAAGGCAGTGTCGTCAGTCTCATGGGGGCACTTCCTGGTACGTGCTGGCCAGCACCCTTTGCTTTGAGGTCTCCAGACTCAGGACATGCCTGAGGTGTGGCCATCCTGTTCAGATGACCAAGTGCTTGCACAGGACACTTGTGTGTCAGACACATGTATAAAGTAATATTTTACCTTCCATAGCCTAAAATAACAGCAGCAGTTGGAAAAACACAGTTGCAAGCTAAAATGCTATAAAGTGGGTGTCACAAACTTTTTCTGTAAGTGGCCAGACAGTATAGTAGATAGTTTTGTTTCTGCCAGCATTTTCTCCTCCTGCTCTCCTCTTCTTTCTTTTATAATCCTTTAAAATGTTGAAAACCATTCTTAGCTCCAGAGTTGTACAAAAACAAATGCCAGTTACAGCCTGCAAAACCATAGTTTTCTGTCCCCTAATGGAAGGAATGCTCATGTTTGTGGAGATGTAAAATTCTAACTCTAGCTGGGATTATTTTGGGAAGAGTTTAATGATGTTCATTTGTGTTACATGTACTTTACATTTGACACCAACTAAATAAGACCCTTGGAGAATGGTGAGAGTAGTGAGAGTGTTGGCACAGTCCAAGTGGCTAAAAACCCTGGCTGTCTGATGAGTGAACTTGAGCATGGTATGCAGTCCTGTGCAGGGTGCCCTGTTGTGTGTTGGGTCACGCTCAGTCATCTGAGTGGGGCTGATCTTGCTGCTACTTGTAATCTAAGATGGTACTTAGGTGGAGAAGGGGGAATACGTCAGCTAATACATATGGTTAGGTGAGGTAGTCAGTCTTGTGTGCCCCATTTTCACTTACCTGTGGAGGAGCTGTTGTTTTTCTGAGTGGTCATTTGGTCTGTACTTGTCTTAGCTAGCATCATGAGGGAGAAACCTGCAGCCTGGGTAGCGAAAAAGGCACAGACTCTCAGTGAAGGCTGAGTGCAGTTCTGTGGCTTCTTGAGAGGTCAGGCCTCAGGACACTGGCCTGTCAGGGAAGCAGCTGCACTCTGAAGGAGTGTCTTCATTCCCAGTATTGGGGCTCACATGTAATGAAGAGAACTTTGTTCCAGTAGGAAAAGGCTTTGAAATTATGTTGTACCTGGGCTGTATGAGTACAGCATGTTATAATCTGCATTTGCATTTGCAGAGTCACTTACCTGTAATGTCACATCTACAGCTTATCTCTCTTTTTTTTATTTTCTTTTGCCCCTGAGATAGGGTCTCACTCTGTAGCCCAGGCTAGCCCCAGTCTCACAGTCCACCTGCCTCAACTTTCTGCGTGCTGGGATTACAGCACATGACACCACACCCAGCAATAGCTTATCTTTTTGATTTACTTCAAGAGTCCCATTTCTGTGAAAATCTTAAATGAAAAATTGAAGACAGAAATAAAAAATAAAAGAAAGTTATGTTTCAAACAGTGTAGTTAGGATTGAGTAGAGGGAAAGGATCAGATTAAATTGATCCATCTTTGTAGATAAGAGGCTTAAAAAAAGAAAGCAAAAACATAGGCTACTTGTACTAACAGAGTGACATCTGACGTGCACTGGGCGCTTACTGTGTGCAGGCACTGTACTTCATTCTTTACATTTGCAATCATTTCATAAGATAGATGCCATCATTACTTACATCTTACAGGTGAGAAGAACAGGAATCAGAAGTTAAATAATTTACTGAAACAGGATTTTAATTCCTGTAGTCTGATGCTAGAACTTGTTCTTGTCCCCTCCATGCTATTTTTCAAGATTTTTTTTTTAAATAAGCTACTGTATTTTAAAATAAGCTACTTCTTATTTCAGCCCCTTAGGGTCAATGGTGTTAAGGTGTATACAGAAAATGTAGACAAAAGGCAAATTATTCTGGACCTTCAGATTAGGTAAGTTTTTATTTGTGTTATATGCCTGTCATGGTTAGTAGCATATAATATTGCTTATAAATAAATCTGATAAGTGATTAATATGCAGAATATATAGAGAGCTTTTTAACTCAGCACATAAACCAAATAACCCTATTCAGAAATGAGCAAAGCACCTTGAATAGGCCATACAAATACAAAGAAATGCAAATGATCATTACACACATAAAAAGATATTTAACCTTGTGATCATTAGGAAACTCCAAACTAAAACCACAGAGGGATGCTACCTCACACTCATCAGGATGACTACTGTCAGCAGAGAAAATAGCAAGTGTTAGAGAAGATGTGGGGAGATTAGAACCCTTGTGCACTCTTGGTGCAAGTGTTAAATAGTATAGTTTCCATGGAAAACAGTTTGGCAGTTCCTTAAAACTTGAAAGTAGAATTACCATATGATCCAGCAATTCCACTGTTATATTTTCTGTTGCTATAGCAGAATATCTGAGACAGGGAGGTATAAAGAAGAGAAGTTTATTTTGACTCACAGTTCTGAAGTCTGGGAAGCTTGTTTGGTGGGTGCATAAGGGTCTCATCCTGTCTCAACTCATGGTGTAAAACGGAAAGGCTAGCATAGGTGTGCAAAGGAATGAGATACGAGGGCTGGATTACTTTATAAAAACCCACTCTCACAGTAAGTAATCCACTCCTGAGAGAGCAAGAACTCACTCATACAAGAAAGGTACTAATCCATCATGAGAGCTCCATCATTATGACCCAAGACCCCTCTCTAGGTCCCACCTCCAGCACTACTACATTGATGAATTAAAGTTCAAACACGTGAACTTCGGAGGCCACACTCAAACCATACCATCATATACATCCAGAAGGACTGAAGGCAGGGCCAGCAGATGCTCACACTCCCATGTCCTTCCCATCATGCAGTGATGGGCTACATGCACAATAGTGGTCACGCAAAATTATGTCACCTAGTGTCATTGTAGCCGTCAGGGTTTGCATAGGGATACTCTGTGATGTTCACACTGTGACAAAGTCACCTAACATTGCATTTCTCAGAATGCATCTCTGTTGTTAAGTAGTGTGTGGCTGTATTTTCAATAGCTAACAGGTGGAACCACTCAAGTGTCCATGACATGAATAAGCAAAGTGGCCTAAACATACATTACTCAGCCATAAGATAAAGGAGTCTTGTCACATGGTAAAACATGGAAACCTTGAGAATGTTATGTAGCTGAAATAAGTCAGAAAAGAAGGGCAGCTAACTGTCTAATCCCACTCACAGGAGAGTGGGGAAGAGAATGGGAAGCTAGTGCTCACAGGGTTCAGAGCTTCAGCTTGCAAGATGAGGACGTTCTGGAGATGGATTAAATACAAATGCTTGTATTTAATAACACTGAGCTGTACACTTTAAAATTGTTAAGGTAATAAATTTTATGTTATGTGTATTTTAACACAATTTTTGAATTGTTGAAAAAAAAATGAGTGTCTACCTAGTTCTGTGACTACTACAATGCAGGTAGGTTTCCTTATTTCTTGTCCTCATTATTTGAATTTGCTCATGGCTTCCTACATACCATATGAGGGCTGTGTTAATCAGCTTTCCATCACTTTGATAAATACCTGAGATAAGCAACTTAGAAGGAAGAAAGGTTTATTTTGGCTCACAATTTCAGTCCATGGTGACCTGGCCTTCTTGTCTTTGTATCTGAAGAAGCCATACATCATGACAGGAGCACATGGAGAAGGAGGAGACTGTCATTTTATGGCAGTTAGGAAGCACAGAAAGAAAAGGGGAAAGGTCCCAATAACCCCTTCAAGGGTACAGTGACCTAACTTCCTTTAAGTAGGCCCCGTCTCTCACAGTCTCTCCTCCAAATAGTGCTAAGATCAAGCCATTATTTCAAATCTAAACTATATAGCAAAGCCTCATAATGCACTGAGTGTGTGGTGAATGCTGAGAGCTGTGATCTCAAAACACCTATGTGATTTTTAGCAATTCTGAACTGTGTTTCCCTACTTCTCCCCTCTCTCCATTCCTTTCTTTTTGGCAGTACTAAGTTTTGAACTCAGGGCAGATGCTCCACCACTCGAGCTGCATCTCCAGTCCTTTATGTGTTGGTTATTTTTGAAATAAGATCTCACTTTTTGCCCAAGCTGGCCTGGACAGTGATCTTCCTACTTATGGTTCCCTGTGTAGTTGGGATGACAGGTACATGCCACCAAACCCAGCCTTTTCTATTGAGATGGGGTCTCGATAACTTTTTGTGCCAGCTGACCTCAAACCACGATCCTCCCAATCTCTGCCTTGCGAGTAGCTAGGATTTCAGGTGTGAGCCATTGGTGCCTGTATCAGAGCTGTGTTTCTTTTTCAATCCTGGATTAATGATCATTTCTTTGTCACTTGTGAGTTTCCAAAGTACATTAATTGTTTAGAGTTGTGACAATTACCTTTATTTTAGAAAGGAACATACAATGTCTTTAATGTGGAAAGTTGTGCAAACACTGTTATCATCAGTGCAGTAAAAGAGGAGGTCCAAGTGTCTGGGGTAGGCAGTGCCCCAGAAGGTCTGGCCTCTTTGTTTTGTTGCTTGGTGTCCCCAGCACTGAGTATTCCATACACATTTACTAAACAGATTATTTGAATAAATCAGCTAATGGGTGTCAGTTTTGAAGATTCAGTCACAGCAGCATAAGTATCAACTTTTTTGTTTTAGGCAAGGACCTTGGCAGTAGAGATGGGAGAGGAGAAATTAAAAAGAATTAGGAAATAAAGTAACCAAGTCTTAAGTAAAAAAAGGAAAAGTTTCATGATGGTTTTGTGATGGGTTCTTGGTGAGTCTCCCAACTAGTCAGAGAATAATCCTCAATAAATGCATAGGCGTGGTGCTCACACCAAGACAGTAAATCTTGGACGGATATCATCCCAGGTCCCTTCTGATACCCTTTTGCTCATGTGCTTAGACCCTCCCTGACCTACATTCATCAGTTCCACAGATGTGCTGAAGCAAGTGTATGATGCTCTGCTTGCAGGAGCCAAGGATAAGGGTCAAGTTGTACACCATCCATGCAGTACCTTTTGGTATTTCACGGTTGTACTGAAAATAGATGCCAACTTTCATTTTGTATCACAGTAGATTCACATTCGTTCCTGTTTGTGTTTGAGTAAAATCAAGGCCCCAAACAGATGTACTGCTTCTTACCTTTGACATCACAGAGCCCTACAACGCCTGAGTGAGCATTTTCATGGTTTGCAATCAGAAAAAAAAAAATCTAAACTTTCTTGTGTTTTGAACAAACAAAGGGTTTGTAAGCCAAATGACAACCACATCCCATCAAGAGTGCTCCAGAAGTTGCAAGCCGTTGTTTGCATTCTCCAGTGAAGCTGGGCAGTTAATTCAGTTAAGACTGTGTATGTAACAGCACCGGTGACAGGCGGTGCCTCCTCCTCGGTGTTGCAGCCGGGCGTCCCTGCAGCCTGGAGCAGCCCAATAGTGCAGTGTGGGTCACAGTTTTCAGTGTTGGTCTACTATCATTTAGTCAGACCATGTACCTTACAGTTCCTAAACTTAATCAGTGTTTGAGGGAATGGTTAATTCCACTCACTTTATGTAATGCAGAATTTTTTCTGTGTAGTTTTGTAGGAAATTGTGAGATTGATTTGGAGATCAAACGATATTTTTGTAGAGCTGGTGTGAAAAGTATACAGGTAAGTGTTTCATATTTTCATCTCGAATTTCCCTAAGTCATATTCAGAAAGAAAATTGTGTTTTGCTAGCTCAGGTGTTTGAAGTAAGCTTGTGGCTGTGGTTGTGTTTGGGAGAAACATGCAGGACTGTGCTCTCTGACTTGTTTGCTTTTCTGTCTGATCCAGATCCATGGGACAATGCGGGTGATCCTGGAGCCACTGATTGGAGACATGCCCTTAGTGGGGGCTTTGTCCATCTTCTTCCTTAGGAAGCCAGTAAGTCCACATTTATACCAAGTTTCTCTGCCTGCTCATGGCATGAACAGGAACATATAGAAAAACAGAGTGGAGAAACAGAAGTCCATCCTTAACTCATTAAAAAGTGTCCGTTTGCAATGCATAAATCCTGTGAGGTTTTCCTCTTTATGCCTTAACTAAGGGCCTCATTACTCTCTTTTTTTCTTTTGGTGGTATTGGGGTTTGAACTTAGGGCCTTGTGCTTGCTGAGCAGGCACTGTACCACTTGAGCCACACCTCTAGCCTTTTTTTGCTTGTTATTTTTCCAATAGGGTCTCCCTTTTGCTCAGAATGTTAACCTCCTATCTGGGCTTTCCCCATAGCTGGATTACAGGGTTGCACCCATGACTGGCTTATTGATTAAAATGGGGTCTTGCTAACTTTTTGTCTAGGCTGGCCCCAAACTCCTATCTTTCTGTTCTCCACCTCTTGAGTAGCTGGGATTATAGGCATGACCCACCACTGCTAACCCTGAAAACAGTTTTGTAAGAAATGCAAGCTGCAGTTAACATTGTTTCAGCACCCATCACTAAGTATGATTTGTAGACTTTTGCTCATTTAATTATCATGCTTCTAAAGCTAAGTATTGTTCCCTTTCCTGATCAGGAGCTGAGATTAAGCATCTTATTTGTCAGAGTCACTCAACTAACTACTACTGGAATCTTTACCGACTCAGACGGATCTGATAAAGAACATATACTCCTAACACTCTGTGGTACTGCCACACCCAGAAATCTCACTCTGACCCTGCTGAGATGAGGCCTACTGTCTTTTAGATGCATTGCCTGTCTTTCTAGGGGAGGTGTTGATGAGTGCCACGTACAGCTTTGCATGCTGTGTTTTAAATAACATGGAGACTTGGATAGGCCATAATGTTAGACGTGTGTTTCTTTTTTCTTGTTATGAGTACCCATTGGTCATCATCAGCACAAAAACAACAGCAGAGCTGTTTGTTACTCCTACCACACAGATTTCTTCTTTCTTACCTGAGTTCCTGTGGCCTCTGATTAGCCCTGACTTCGGTGTCATGGGCACTAGGCAATCTTCTGCAGGGACAAGCTGACCTCTCAGGGTGATGTCACCCCCCACACACAAGATCGTGTGATGTAGATGGGATCTCTCCCCTCACTTTCCACCACTGTCTCAGGGAAGATCCCAGGTTCCAACAGCACTCAGAAAAATTCCAGCTCTTGTCTTCCACTGCTCCTCCCTGTGCCTTTTCCTTCTCAAAACAGTATCTCCAGTCCTTTTGTTTCACTCTGTTTCCAGTATTTCTGCTCATCCCTCACTAGGACAGAGGCCCATGATAGTGCCCAGTGTTGAACTGTGTGAGCCATAGAGTTGAGGGGGTGTCTGGGTGCGCTGGTCCCTAGAGGTGCTGCTTATGACCCCACAGTCCTCTTGCAAGAGGGAGGAACAAGGGGGGAGAAATGAACCAAGCCTTGTATGCACATATGAATAATAAAAGAAAAGGGAAAAAAAAAAAGAGGGAGGAACATAGACATGCTTAACCTAAAGTGGGAGTGTTAATTTGTATAATTTGGCTCAAATGACTTAATGAAAAGTATTGCCATTTGGGTTTTAAAAGCAAGTGTAGTATGGATGGTGTTTTTTCTGTATAAAAACACAAAAGGAACCTTGTCCTCACTGTCTGTTATGTCATTATTGCTACTCTCAAATGCTTATCTATCGGACTTACTTTGAATGTAGTTTAAGTAGTATACCAAACATGGTAAAATCAAAAAGCAATAGAGACTCTGACAAACTTTACTTTATTAAAAGATTTAAATTTTCATCTTTCTCTCATGTACCAGTTGTTTAAAAGCCAGTATTTATAAGAAACTGGCTTTATTAATGACTATAGAAAACTAATCTTTAAAAATTGTTAAGTATTTTCAATTTCCCATTCTGGTTAGAAGCACCCTTAACAGTTTAAAAAGCCTGTTTTCTGTCTGGATCTTTTAATCTTCCTCGGAACCTACCAACATGAGTATATTTGCACAGCAGCATCACAGTGTTAACTTCCAATGAGATTTTAGCGCCTTGGAGAGAAGGATGAAGCTCTGAGGTTGAGAACGGCCCATTCCTTATATGGTGAGCAAAGCCCTGAACGTGCTTTGGAGAGAAGGAGACTTTCAGTTACTCTCAACTGGGAGACATGAGATCAGATACACTGCTTGCTGCCAAGCACTTCTTCCTGACTCTTGAAAAATGCAGCTGGAAGGATTTTTATTTTTTATCAGCCAGATGATTCACAAGTATAGTGCTGGAGACCCAGGGGAAACCTTTGCACATTTTTCTGCTTCTTAATTTGTTTAGATTACTTGTGGCAATGTGATACTGATGAGGGGGGAACTAAAAATTCCTAAAGTGATTAACTTTTAGAGCCAGTGGGAAGGCAGCATAGTGTGATGGTTGCTCCTAGTTTCCTGAAATAGAAATTTTAGTCATCCAGAGCCCTAGTTCCCACTGTCTAGCAGGAATCTGGGAAGGCTGAGAGGGAGCAGCTAATTTTAGTTGCTTTTCTGAAAGCACTTTCCAAAGTGCTGCCTTGATCCTTTCCTCTTGGTGGTCTTTCTCTGGTGTCTGTGTGCATACTTTGCAGACTGAGGTTTTATTTCTCTCTTTCTCATGTACTCATTCTCCCACTTGTTTACTCACTCTTCTTTGACACACACACACACACACTCTCTCTCTCTCTCTTGTCCTCATGTGCACACATTCTGTCATAGGCCTTCTCTCATACGTACATCCTCACACACTCTTACTTGCTCCTTCTCTTTCTCTCAGTGCTTCGAACATGGGGACCCCTTTGCCTGAAGTTCTTCTTGCACTTACATCTCTGCCAGTCCTGCCCTCCCACAGCCCTGCTCCTGCCTGCCTGACAGCTTGCTTCTCTGAACTTGGGCAGCTCTTAGGCATGTTTCAGTCATGAGACATAAGGCTCACATGGGAAGAAGCAGCCCTGTGTGGTACCCTAGACAAAGGTCCAAGCCACAGTAGGGAGGCTTAGAAGCAAGTGCAAACTTAAGGACATCCCATGCAGAGGGATCTTAGGGGAAGAGAAGAGAAGTGTTTCAGAGCAGGGGAAGGGATAACTTAGAGCAGAGTCAAACCTTAAAATCCAAGGGTTTCTTCCCACAGGGCCAAGTGGGATTTTATTCTGTCCTGTTACCTAGCTGTGAAGACCAAAAGTTACAGATAAAGTCCTTCCTCCAGGTCTGAGTTTTCTTATCTGTAAAACTCAGGGGTGGTTAGTCTTGGTTCTGTAACTAATTCTAAATTTGAATACCTACTTTTTTCTGATTTTTTTTTTCTTTCTTTTATTTTGTAATTTTTACATTTACTTACACGGGTATACATTATTTGGGCCAGCTACCTGCTCTTCCGTTCTCCCCCCATTCCCCTGATACCTACTTTTAAAGCAAATTTTATATGTAATTTTCAAAAATGTGTATCTGTTTTGCTTCATTTTTTTGATACTCCATCCCGGCTTTGTGTTGTTTCATAAAGCTTTCGTGCTCTTTGCAAAAAATGGAAACTTTTTCTACTTTTAATGCACTTCATCTTTGGTTTTGACGGTAAAAAGACATTTTTCAGGTTTCTAGTCTTCAGGGAGTTTTTTCTAGGTACCTACAAGAACAGCATTATTGCTGCCATTTGTGGAGATTTTACTTGCTAGCTTTGGACAGTTTTTAAATTTCCTGTCATTTTCATTTACTTTTTTTGGAAGGAGGCAGTTACCTGGACCCCGGAAGATGATAAATATGACCCAGCAGGGGCCTAGGCTAGGACTGTGATAGGATGTAGATTCGGTAAGGAACAACATCCCTGAGGGCCATGTGGGACCCACCAGGGCAGACTTTGGAGCCCCACCACCGCTCTAGGAGCCTCCAACCAGCTGCATGTTCCCCATGGAGAAGCTACAGTTCAGGAATGGAAGCCAGCCCTCACCTATACTGGGTTTGATTGGCATAATTGTCTTGCATGAGCCAACTTTGGTCTCCACACTGGCCAGGCTTTCATGTGCCTAAGGGCCTCTTTGGGCCTCTATGGGCTGAGCCAAATTGATAACTGTACTCAGAACTTGCCACAGGAGTGAGAAGGGCCTCACCAGGTTTGGTGCTGAGAGATTCCTGTACACCCAGGGCCCTATAATAGCTGCTAAAGACCAGATTGGTAACTACTTGGGAGGCTGAGATCTGGAGGATCAAGGTTCAAGGCCATCTTGGGCAAACATTTTACAAGACCCCATATCCAAAATAACCAGAGCAAAATGGACTGGCAGTGTGGCTCAAACATAGTGCACCTGCTTTGTAAGCGTGAAGCTCTGTGTCCAAATCCCAGTCCCATCAAAAAAAAAAAATTAACAGATCAGAAGAGATAACCTACTTTGAAAACTTGGACCTGAAACCTTGATGTGTAATGTGAGTAGGACTTGGCCGCAAGGGCGCTCCATAAATCGGGTGGCCTTTCATCCCAGCATTGGAACCCCAGCCCCTGACCTGAACAGTTTTGTCATTTATAATTCTAGCAACATTATTTAATTCAGAGCCATATCAAGCCTTTAAAATGCTCAGGTAATAGCAGCTATGTATTAGTTGGTAAACATCACATCTGTTTATTCAACAGAAACATACTTTTGGTCAGCAAGGGTTGAGACGGTCTCATTACATAGCCTAGGCTGGCCTTGAACTTGGGGTCTTCCTGCCTCAGCCTACAAGTACTGGCATTATAGGCACTGATATGCTCAAGAAAAGTATGCTTTCTAAACAAAACAAGTCGAAGCCAGCCAGTACACACTTTAAAATGATTTTTTTTTTTTTGTGGAACTGAAGTTTGAACTCAGGGCACTGTGCTTGCAAAGCTGATGCTCACAAAGCAAGCACTCTACCTGCGTAAGATGAACCTCCAGTCCATTTTCCTATGGATGTTTGGAAATAGACTCTCACAAACTATTTCTCTCAGGCTGACCTCGAACCTTGATCCTCCTGATCTCAGACTCCGAGTAGCTAGGATTATAGGCATGAGCCACCAGCATCCAGTTTATAGTGATTTTTATTCTAGTAGTTTAAGAGACAGGTTTTACTTTGTTGGCCAGGCTGGCTCTGAACTAGTCTCAAGTGATCCTCCTGCCTCAGACCTCCAGGTAGCTGAGACTATAGATGTGCACCATCATGTGGGCTGTGATGATTTTTTTATAGCACACTTAATACACAGTATAAGTTTTCTTGCATCAGCTGTGGGCATGTCTACTCTCTGCAGTTCCCAGTCTTGCCAAAGAACAGCAGTGCATCTGTGAAAAAAGCTGATGGATCAGTGTAATTAGAGAGATGATTCTTTCATTCTGGGTTATAATTTTAGACAAACTAGCAGGGTGTCGAAAACCGGTAATGAGAATGGCTCTCCAACTGCTGCGTGGAATGCAGCGTGTGGAGCTTGGGAAGCAGTGCTAGAGAAGATCTCTTTGTTGCTCTCCTTCATTCACTTCATACTTGTTTTTGACGACTTGTGACTAGTCACAGGTTTGGTTTTGTTTTATCTGCAATACAATTCAGTCGGCAGTTGAGGCTTTCTCAGTTAAAGCCAGGCCTTGTTTCACCCGAGTATTTTAACAGGTCCAAAAACACCAGCTAAAATTGGCTTCACACTGACTTCTCTAAAGTGTTTAATAGACCCCAAAATACCACACAGTTACTTGGGACCATTAATAAAATCTCATTGCAACAAAAAATCTCAAAGTATTCAACATTTTATTTTTCTTCAAAGGTGACATTAACAAATACTTTTAAAAGGATTATTAATTCTCTTTCCTAACCCTTCCAAGATAAAACCCTTCTACCTTAGTGCTATCGAGGGTATTTATTTTTGTTTGCTTGTTTTTTTGAGCCAGTGTCTCACAGCCCAGACTGGCCTGGAATTTGCTATATTGTCCAGGCTAGCCATGAACCTGTGATCCTCCTGCCTCCCAGTACCGCAGTTACAAACTTGCATCACCCATGCAACTGAGGATATTTTTTAAGGTAACAAGATAGTGACATGTAAAATATGATTAGGATACTTAGAATAAAAGTGTGCTTGTAAGAAAAATTTTTTATTAAATAGCATCTTTGAATTTCAATCCCTTTGTTGTTCTTTTATAGGCCTTACCCTGTCCTTATTTAGAAGCTTGCTTGTCCTTCCTCAAAAAAGTGTCCCTTTCCTGGAGTCTGTGTGACTCCCCATCTCATATCTCTGCAGATGGTACAGCCATGACTAGGCATCTTCCAGTGAGCTTGCCATGCAGGGTACTTGCATTTGAACTTGAGTCAAATACAAAATTCCCAGGCCATATCTATTCCTGAAGTAGATCTGAGATCAGAAGAAAGGACCTTCAGAACTAAAAGATAATATCTTGTTATCATCTCCACTTAAATCTTAAGTTTCATGATATGCAGGTGATCAGGTGTTCTTGTAAGGTCAGAATATTTTGTTGTGATGGGGAGTACTTGTTCCCTTTTAAGTTCCGAAGAGATTCTTTGATCTAATAGTGTGAGAGGAAAGAGAAAGAAAAATGACCTCTTAAGTCGTATTGCTTATGTATTTACCCAGGTGATTTGGAATACATGGGGTTTGTTCTCCATTTTAAATTTTATTTATTTATATATGTATGTATGTATTTATGGGTTTGAACTCACGGCTTTGCCCTTGATAGGCAGGCACTCTGCCACTCAAGTCACACCTGCTACAGCCAGAAGGTTTAGAATTCCAACTTCTACTACACAACTTTATCTCCCGAGTCACAGTGTTGTCATCATTCTCCCAACAAACACGCTTCTCTAATAGTGATCAAACAGATGGCTCCAGCCCCAGCATCAGCCACTTTACGTCTTTAGAGATCTCAATCAGGGTGCTGGGTTTGCTGTTCTCTGAAGTTGCAGTTATTTCTGGACAGGATACATAGGATGTACCTGGGAAACACATGACATCTGAGATTTGTACTCCAGGTTTGAGATGAGCTAAATGTTCTTTTTCTTGCTGAGTTTTGTTGTTGTTGTTATTGTTTGTTTGTTGCTTTTGGCAGTATTGGGGTTTGAACTCAGGTCATGCTTGCTAGGCAGGTGCTCTACCACTTGAGCCATTCTTCCAGTCCCATCCTTGATAAGTTTCATATCTGTTTCTCAGGCTGAAAAATCCTAATCGTGAAGGATTTTTAAACCTTGTTGCTTTTTCTTTTGGCTTTGGTCTATCCAATAGACTCATGACTCTTCTTCTTGCTTGTGGATAACCACTGACTTCCAGAAGAGGTTTGAACAGTTTTGTTTCTCCAGCTCTGTGATAGCTGAGATCGTGCAATTTCACTTAGCATTTCTTTTGAATATAAAACAAGTGATTTTATTATGTGCAGTGTCCATTCTGATAAGAAAAGCAGTATTTCCAGTCAGTAGTTTTAATGGTCCTTGTCCACTTACTGGAATCTTTGCTAACCATGAAGGAATTATTCTGTTACAAATAAATACATATGCCCAGTGAATGGATGGAATGTGTTCCACTCACAGGAAAATGCAAATCAAAACTATTGAAATTCCGGCACTCTTGCCAGGTGGGCCAGTTTGTAGTATCTGGTTTTGGTGAAGGTGTAGAAAAAGTATGTTTCCATATACTTTTGATGGAATATAAACTGATTCAGTATTTTTTAGAGGGCAGTTAGGAACTATATTCAGCATAAAAAAAAAAACATAAATCTTCAGCATCAGATCTTACTTTCTGAATGCTAGTCTTCATATGTATAAAAGAACATATAAAAAGACACTCACTGAATCATTACTTATATTAAAAGAAAAATTGCAGATATCTAAGTGTCCATCCATTGGAAGATAAACATAAAACAAAAACAGAGACAGGTCTGTGTACCAACGAAAGATGTGTTTGATATGTTACAAGGTGAGAAAACGTGTAAGACAGTGTTGTTTATGGACTCATTTTATCTCTAAAGAAACAAACCTGTGTGCACTTGATGTGAAGCTGGAAGTAGCATGCATGTTAATATCGTTGCTCTTTTTCAAAACAGCTTTTAGAGATTAACTGGACAGGACTGACTAATCTTCTGGACATCCCTGGATTGAAGTGAGTCTCGCCACATCCGTCGCAGTTGGCTTGTCGGTGAAATCATGTATTTTTCATTGTCACAAAAGTATCATGAGAATGGTTAAGACCTGCATCTGCCATGTAGAATTGGTGCCTCCCCGCGGGCTATTGTGAGAAAAGAACAAAAAGTATAGTTGAGTTTTGTTCTCACAGCCATTTCTAAAACAACTTGGTCCAAATGAACTGAAGTAGAATGGCTCCAGGCACCCCTCGTTTGCCTTTTGTTCATCCCAAGGCACCTTCCCAGCTGTGACATTTTAGAAGTATTAGCCGTTTAATGCTCTGTGAATTAACTTTTAACATGGTTTTAATTATTTTCTTATAAACTAGAGAAAACATGGAAAATGAACCTGTGATCTTTCCAGGCTGTAGCTGCCCCTTCCTCCATGAGACAATGGGTAGAACAGAACCTAGATGTGACGTTTCTATATCATATCACTGGGAGTCCCTTCCTTACTCAGTAGCAAAGTGGTGTCTACAAAACAAGGAAAATGTCCCATGATAAGCATCTGAGACAGGGAGGGCACCTCCCCTGGGAAAGGAGTGAGGCTAGGCTGTAGCGACTCATAGTTCATCTGTCTGAAATGGCAGGTGGGATCTATGTGGAAATCTCTTGGTCACTACTCACCAGGAAGTTTTGAAATTACAACCTTCTAAGCTTGCTTTTGCTGGTTTTGCTATTTTATTTGAAGGTTAGAATCCGTCACTTACTGGTTAAAGTTATATGTGTTTCTTGTGGATATTTTGCTAATCTGAATTTTTTTCTTGAAAATAGCTTAGAAATTAAATTATGAAAGTTTAGTTTCAGGTTATTTTTTCTCTTTCTGTATGTTTGTTTATGCCCCTGAAGTGGCCATTAGAAAAAATTATTTTTTATTTTCAGGGAAAAAATTGCAACTTCAATAATCTAAGGCACAGTCATAAATAAAAGTCATTTTTAGGTACTTGATATAGAAAAGGATTGCCTTTTTTAGAAGATCTGTGGAAAGGAAAGTACAGCTTTTTTGAAATTTAGCAAGACAGTAAAGTAGGGAGAAATAGTGAAGAAAAGAGGAGCACCTCCTGCTTGACACGATGAGTGCAAAGAAGACTGGGAAAGTACAGCTTTGAGAGATGTGCTTAAGTGCTCGTTAGGGTCTGGTTGCAAACAACAAATCTGAGTCAGATGGTCATAGAGAAAGAAGTCCTTGGTTTTTTTTTTTTGGGGGGGGGGATGCACGGAGAAGCTAGGGATGAAAGCAGGGCCTGTGCATGCTAGGTGAGCATTCTACCTCTGAACTAAGCCTTGGCCCAATAAATAATGTTTTGTGAGGCATCCTGGTGACTCAGCCAGCACTGGGCGTTGTGGGCGTGCTCTGACCAGCCACTGCTCTCAGCTTGAATGCAGCTGTGACTAGCACAGTCCCATAGCTGTTCTCAGAGAGCTCAGCCTGCTGCTGGCTCTCACAGCATTCTTTGAGGGGATCAGGTACAGGCAGAGTTGATGCAAAACGATGCTGGGCACAGGGCTTTCGTACAGCTCTGTCTCAGGCAGGTGAGCCCCTGCACTTGTCTGCAGGTAGGTTCTTGCCCAGTACAGGAGCTGCTAGCTTTGCTCTGCAAGCAGTAGCCTTTTCCCTTTAGTTCCCTCAGAAGTCACCACCTAGCTCAAGTGTCCACTCACCTTGGACAAATTGGTAAGATTCTGATAATCAGGTTTGGGTCTCATGTGTACCCCTAGTGGAGGCAAGGAAATGAGTCAGTTGCTTGGAATTCCTCAGTGAATGGGGTATCTCCCAAAGGGAGAACTTTCCCTGGCAGGCAAAAACAACTGTCTACACAGTTCCATTCTACTTTGCCTCAACATTATGGGAGGACTGAAATAAAACAGGTTTATTAAGCATCTGCTTTGTAAATAATATTGTATTAGCTGCCTGAAAGCGTGATGTTGGACAAAGGATGTGCTCTGCCCTGGCAAGACAAGTCTTTCCCAAGCCATTTATTTATAAGTGTTGTAGTCACAGACACCATGGACACACACACAAATGTGAATGTATACCTTATTCAATTTAACATTTTATTTGTTAAATAACATTTTATTTGTATGTAGGCAGGTTCATAGTAACTTCTAGCTCTTAACTTATATATAGATCTTGTATGTGTGGTATTAAAATACATATTCTACATATGTATATAGAATTATATCATCAAAATAAGTATGTACTTATATGTTACATATGTACATAGGCTATCTGGTTTAAAGGGTAAGCTATCCCTTTAAATAATATTATATCTTCCTATATACTATATATAATTTATATATGAGTATATAAGTTTTGTATGATATATACCATTCTATTATATAAACTTTAACACATTTGTAATAAAATTTGGGCTACTAATTTTTACTCAGAGACTTACCATCAAACAAATCAGAACTATAGCAAGTCTTATGTTATAAATATTCACAGTGAGGTGAGTATTCAGTAAGTGTGCCTGTTGATGACATTTTGTCCCAGTCTTTATAAAATGTATCCTTGATTACAGAGAAGAACCTGAGGTGTTTCAGAGGAGGAACAGCACCTGAATCGTTTCACTGTACCTTACATTTTATCATTGTTGTTTGATAATCAGTGTTATTAATGTATACTAATTGTTCAGAGTGAGGGGTTGCATTGTGAGATTTCCATAAGTGTATATAATGTAATCTGATTGTGTTCACCCCATTCTTTCTTCTCCCCCCTTGCTGTTTTCCTCCCTATTAGTCCCCATTTTACTTTCATGACCTTGTTTTTTTGTTGTTGTTGTTGTTTTCCTCCTAGCTTCTACAAATGAAAGAAAACATGTGGGATTTGTCTTTATGGAACTGGCTTTTTTCACTTAATGTGACATTTTGGTCTTCCTCCTGCAATGTCCCTGTTATGTCTCAGTGAAGAGCTTCAGAACACCTGTGATTGGTGGAAGAGGGTGAGGGGCTGTGAGAGGCAGAAGTAAGGGAGGAGGTGCACCGGCAGTTTGAAGGACAGTCTTATCTCTAGAAAAAACCACCACTGCTGTGGTTGTACATGGGGCAGGAGCAGCTTCCATACCTGATGGTCCAGGGCTCTGAGACTGGGGGTAGGGGGGCGGGAGGACGACTCAGTGAGCCACCTGCTTGGTAGATTTGCCACAGCAGCCACTGACTTTTAGGCCTGAGCCATGAGGCTGCCAAGCACAACAGTGGGTGTTAGACTATCACAGCAGTGAGGGTCCCTCGGCATGCTTCAGTCATGAAGGGGACTTTCGCTTAGCAGGTTTCTCAGTATAAACAAAACCACTATTTTGGGAGGAAATGCTGAGGGTAAGGGTTCAGTTGGTGTTAAGGCTGTGAAGGACCCCTGACACCTCCCCGTGGACCACGTGGCCAGTCCGCTGACTCTAACCCTCTCCATCTTGCCAGAAGAGTTACAGCCAGAGCCACCTGCTTATAAGTAGAGCTGCACTATGTGTGGTCTATTTCATTTTGGGTGTTTTTTAAAGTATTTTTCCTCTATTAAACTGAAGAGCCCAGGAAGTAAGGTTCGTATCTTGTCATTGTAGGTGGATGCCTGTCTTATCCTGTTATTATCTGTTGAACGATGATGATGGCTACTATCTTATAATTACATATTTGTGTTAATGGTTTAACACCTAGAAAGTACTGGCAAGAACTATGGTTGCTTGACAACTTCATGGTTCTGGTGAAGATGTTCTACAGCAATGGAATTTACACTTACATGCTTTCAAAAGTGCTGTCACATCCACATCACTTAATTCTCACATTTACCTTACAGACTAGGCAAAAACATATTAAAAGTATACTGATTCAGTCTAAGCAGTCTTACTCATATTACTGAGTTTGCTATGCAGGATTCAGCATGAAGAGAGACCAAACTAAATTCTTTTACTTCATTAGGAGCTGGTATATAACAGTAGAGAAATTTAATGTGTATAGAAACATGGACTTGGTTCATGAATATTTGCTGTTTATTCTGTATGCTTTTATGTATGTTTGAAATGTTTGTGTTTAAAAATTTAATGAAATATATCAGCATCAAGTATACAATGAAGTTACAGAAATGTATGAAAGGTTATTTAGGAAATTATGAAATGTAGCTAGGATTGTACTTTATCTTCTAAAAATACTTTCTACCTTATAGTTAGCATAGCAGTTTCCCAGCCAAAGTATTGCAATGCTGGCTTTAAATACTGTGTTGAAAAGTTAGACAGCTCCTACCCTATAAATGTGGCATGTCTGTTGTTAGTGATAACAAATGTTAATACGTCTGATTGTTCTTCACAGTGGGTTATCTGATACTATCATTTTGGATATAATATCGAACTATCTGGTGCTTCCCAATCGAATCACTGTTCCTCTTGTCAGTGAAGTACAAATAGCTCAGTTGCGGTTTCCTATACCAAAGGTAAGCATGCTGTAGCATCCACCAGTATTTAAAAATATCCTGAGGACCTTTCCAGACATGGGGTGTTGTCTGGGGTGCTCTGAATTTCTGCATCTGTCTTAACAGCCACCTTGCCAGTTATGTCCCAGTGGCTGTCCCACATGCTCCTCCAGACCTGTGCAGGTGTAACTCTGATCCTGAAGCTGTCCCCAAGACCTTGGGTGGCTTGAGTGCCTCAGTCTTGCTCCTCCAAGGTGCAGCAAGTTTTGGTTCTGCAAATGCTGCTGTGAGTCATAGCAACAGCTATGAGCAGCAGATAACTCATTATCTCAGGGGCACATGATTCTTCTCCTTCACTGAATTGTAGTTTTCTCAGCAACAAACAAGATGACGTTGTTGATTGATGAGGATTTTGTTTTGAGATGATGCTTTGTGTAAGTTGTTTCTCAGGCATTGAAACATGGTTGCCTCTGGAGTCACTGTGTAAGCAGGCCGAAGAGGCACTGTCTAACACCTGAGCTGCACAGATTTGGAAGAGGGAACTCTTACGTGACTGGACATGGTTGGGCCTTGGTTTCTGCATCTGTAAAATGAGGATGGTACTGGGTACACAGAGCTGGCTCACAGACATTGCAGTCGCCTTTGTTTGAGCAGACTGAAGCCTCATGCAAAAGGTGTGAGGCTTGCTAGTCAGGAGCATGAGGCTCCTTCTTTGGCCATGGAGGACAGTGGCTTGGGTGACTTCTGCGGGCACTACACAGAGGAAGGGGAGGTGCAGCATGTGTTGTCTGTACAAAGGAGTAATATCAATGCATATCAGGCTGTTTTACTAACACAAGAGATAAGTTTGTGCTATTTCAGTGGATGCATTGTTTTCATTTTTGTTTCCTGAAGTGGAGCTGGTGTTTCCCTGATGCTTTTTTACTTTTTTCTGGTTAAATTATATCTCCACAAGAGTATACCAGTCAACAGATATGCATGAGCATATTTCTTTTTCCACAGGTTGGGGATCAAAACTAGGACCTCAAACATGCTAGGCAAGCCCTGTTAACACTGAACTACATCACCAGCCTCATCATTACATGTTTTAAGGGTACCATACCCCAGTTAATTTGATGCCCAAATTAACATTTTATTTTTGACATTCAGCAGATTTAATGTAGCACTACATAATAGAAAGGAATGTCTTTTCCTGAACTTAAGATGCAAGAATCACCTTACGTGTAGAAAGCCTCATGCTCCTTTGCCGCATGGGCTATTTGTGCCCTGAGGACGATGAGTTCTGGACCTGCCCAGATCCAGCTGGATATAATATATATATATGGATATAATATATATATATGAGGATATGGCCTTTATATCCTCACCCCATGGATATAGAGGCCAGTATTGTGGAAAGGTGTGGCCTGATCATCTAAGTTTTTGCCCTGTGAAAATATAAATGAGAAACTTTTGATGTTTTGTAAAGTGTGTTCCTCCATAGTGAGGCTTATCTCTTCTTTTTCTTTTTTTGGGGAGGTAGTACTGGGGTTTGAACTCAGGGCCTCACACTTGCAAGGCAAGTGCTTTACCACTTGAGTTGCTCCTCTAGCCCCATAGGGAGGCTTACCTTGTTGGGACTGTCACTCTCTAATTTTTTAAGAGTTTCAGGAAGAATGCTACCATTCCAAACTTTACCACCTTTGTTTGCCTTGAAAGAAATACGAGTGAATATTTTTTCTTTTACCAATAAAACATTTGAAACAAAGGACTGTGTTTAAGGTGATGAGTAATGTGTACTTAGAAGTTTCCATTTCTTCCTATATGAAATAGGTTTAATGGCAGCATTTCTAAAACTTGGATGGCATGGTCACTGCATGTGCAGTGCTTACTAACATGGCTGATGCACCCTGTCATGTTAGCTATCACCTGCTTAGTACTAGAATGTGGAATCGTTTGGTGAGCCAGTAGCCCTGTGCCTCTTGAAGATAAGCACGCTGCTATGCTGGGACCTTTGCTGTCAGTGTCCCTCTGCTAGGAAAGCTCTCTCAGGTGTCTGGCTTCATCTCTGCTGTGGTATCCTCGAAGCAGAAGCTTGCCTGTCCTTCTGTCTGAACAGCAACACTGTCTTAACGGGATGGTGCTTTTCTTAGCACTTATTTTCTGACCTGTCACAACTGACCTTTCACTGTCCCTGCTGGGATGTGTGCCATATGCAAAAAAGGCCTTTATTCCCCTGGTACCCCCAGTTCCTAGGACAGGGTCAGGCACACAGCTGTTGTCCATTCTCTGTAAACGAACCAGTGAGTGGTCTCAATGGTTTGTTCTTCTTTTCAGGGTGTTCTAAGGATACATTTTATTGAAGCCCAAGATCTTCAGGGGAAAGACACTTATCTTAAGGGCCTTGTCAAAGGAAAATCAGATCCCTATGGAATCATCCGAGTGGGCAATCAAATCTTCCAAAGCAAGGTCATCAAAGAGAACCTTAGTCCAAAGTGGAACGAGGTGTACGAGGTGAGGTGTGGCTCCCCTCTCTGTTCCTTGGCGTGCTGTACTGCAAGTCTTAATTCTGGGTCTGTCACACAGGAGTGTGGCTAATGTAGGCCACTGTTTAAGTTTTCTTTGGTTTAATTTCCTATCTTTAAAAAAATGTTTTGCCTTACCTCTCTCTTCCTCATAAAATTCTTGTCGTATGAGTACATAAGTTTTAAATCTTAACTATATAATCTGTCACAGTAAATATCTTTCATAATGTGATAACTTGACTTTTTCTAATTATAAAATGTTACATGTGGTTATTGACACATAAACACATACAAAAATGCAGTTATACTGTTCTGTTAACTTTTCATTTAATACATCTGGACATCTTTATATGTTAGTGAATAGAAACCTACGTGACTGTGTTGTTGTTCCTGAGAACAACACCATGTGACAGCAGAGCTCAGGCTAGCCTCGAACTCATGGTCCTCCTGCCTTGGCCTCCCAAGTGCTGGGATTGCAGTGTGCAGTACCACACCCAGCTGAGACCTGCATACTTTTACTACCTCACTAAAAGGATACTATCATTTACTTATAGGAGAGGCGTGGGCTGTGCTGAGTGGGATTATAAACAGTGCTGTACGGTTATAGTATGAACGTTTATGTCTTCACTTGGCCGTTTTATACATGTGATGATCCTTAAAGTAAAACTGCTGGAACAAAAAATGATGAGTTTTTAAGGGGCAGAATCTTTTGTCAAAACAGTAGTGTAGTTTATGCCTTCCTGTTTTCCACTCTCCAGTCTTGCATTTCCCTTCGCTCTGAGCGGCAAGTGGATAATTTGTGGTTATTCAGAGGCAGCATCTGAATGGAGCTCCATCAGGGCTCAGGACTGTCTCCTGCATCTTTGCTTTGTCCCAGGCCTTGGACAGGCCTTTGGGAGATGGCCTGTGACCTTGTTTCGAGGGATTGTGCTTGACCTGTTGAGATGTAATTTCTCAGATAACCAGAACCAAACACAGTGGGCTGTTGCTTTGTGGGCAAATATTTCAGAATGCTTCAGTCATCAGGATGTGTGCTCTGACAATAAGAAAATATAAATGTTTTTAAAACTGCTTACTGCTAGAGAAAAGGTGCATGGTAAAATTTGTTATAATCATCACATACAGTAGATGACTGTTAGTACAACTGCAGTAACTTCTAACCATTATTTTTTCAGGCTTTAGTTTATGAACACCCTGGTCAAGAATTGGAGATTGAGCTCTTTGATGAAGATCCAGACAAGGATGACTTCCTAGGAAGGTGAAGGGCGAGTGTGAGAGCATTCTTCTTCTAGTCATTGTTACAGATACGAGCTTTACATACATACTTTTTAGAATAGTTCTTGGATATGACATTTGTTTCCTCTTATATTTCTTTCTTTGTTGTTTTTGGGAGAGAGACTTTAAAATTGGCATACATTGGTAGTACAGGGGAGTTTCAATGTAATAATCCTCTAGATGTATACAGTGTACTTTCAACAAGTTCACCCCCTCTATTATATTCCTTTAACCCCATCTCTCTTCCCCCTTTTGAAACAGTATTTGGTAGATTTCTTTATTCTTTCTATATATATATATATATGTGTAACCCTCTCTTTTATACCTCGCCATTCCTCCTAATTGCCCCTTACCCCCTAGACAGTCTCCTTTTACACCATGTCCCATTATTGCCATTTTAGGTCTACATTTCACATATGGTTGAAAATATGCAATATTTGTCTTTTTGACTTTGGCTTATTTTGCTCAACCTGATGATATCCATTCATTTTCCTGAACACTGCATAATTTCATTTTTCTTTCTTAAATTTTTTGTGGAATTACCACAACAAAGCAGCTTTGTACTATTAAAGTGTGCTAATAAGAAATAGTAAAAAAAGAAAGGAGGTCCAAGTTACAATTCAGTATGCAAATAACTTGAGTTCACAGTGATTGGGGGAGGGGGGTGGCACCAAGGGAGAACATGGAAAACTAGAGGGTTGAGATGTTTTTAACTATTTTTAGTTCATAGTATATTGTGAAGGAGACTAGCTGTATACAGCTCTGGTCTCGGCTGACCACACTCGGTATCCTGAACTCAAGAAACTCAACTATGTTCTTGTCCTTACTCCTCTTGACACTTTTGGGCATAAGCTAGAGGGGGAGAGCAGCATGTTTCCTGGTAAACTATGTGGGGTTTTTTTTGTTTGTGTGTGTTTGTGCTTCTGGAGTATTTTTTCAGATGTAAATGCTTATGCTTATGGTTATTTCTGTATTCTAAAGCTGTGTTGTTATTCCTGTAGTCTTATGATTGATCTCATAGAAGTTGAGAAGGAGCGCCTTTTAGATGAAGTAAGTTTTTTCTGCATTTGGTCTATTTAATAAACACTGGCTGAATACCTCCATGTACCAGAGGGGTCGTGAGCCTCTCGGTCACTGCCAACCCAGGACTTTTGCCTCACAAGCATCCCTTTGGCTGGGAATGTACATCAGTGGTAGAACATTTGCCTAGCATGCATAGGGCCCTGGGTTTGATCCCTCACACCCCCAAATTGAAAAATATACATAATGTAGGTCTTTTAAAACAAAGTAAAAGAAGTCAGGTGTCAGTGGCTCATACCTGTAATCCTAGCTACATGGGAAACTGAGATTGGGAGGATCATGGTTCGAGGCCACCATGGGCAAATATTTTGCAAGACCCCATCTTCAGGCTTGTGCAAGTGCCTGTTTTGTAAGCATGAAGCCCTGAGTTCAAACCCCAATCCCACACAAAAAAAAAAAAGTAAAAGGAATACATTTAAGAGTCAAGTCAGATGGAATGCATTAAGTACCTACCTTGTGCTAGAAATTCTTACATATAAAGCTGACTATTGCTGACAAACAGTGATTTCCTGTGGGAATTAGGGTAAGAAGCATGTGAGAAACCTACAGTGATGGGGGTCTTCCCTGTGGTTGGAGAGAAGAGCAGAGTTGCACAGTGCAGTCAGAATGTAAAAGTATCTGTAAATGCAGTAGGAAGTTATAGCAAGAAGACAACACTTCAAGCAGGGATGTTGCTAACAGAAGAAAAAAAAAGGAAAGTTTGTAGTGACTTCTAAAATATGGATAAGATTTATGTAAGTAAAGCATAAAAATAGGTCAGATCAGAGTTGGACAGACTCTTCTGCCCTCAAAGCCACACCCCAGCATCCATATGATACGTGTGTCTTGTGTACCTGTTAGATGCCAGGCACTAAGCACTGTTAGACAGTGCCTTTGGCAGTACCTCTTTATCACTGAATGTCTAGAGACTTTTTGTGATTTTTAAATTGAAACGTCTATATGCTTTTTTATTAGTTAGAATATACTGATGAATAAAAGCAAGTATATTAATCTATTTACACTAACTTTGAGCATGTAGGGATCAATGTTATATTGTCTCAGCCTCTAAATTCCATGAGTCCACACACAGCTAGTACTGGGACAATTGGCCCTTTGTTCACAAACATGATGATGATGCTTGTGACTTTGCAGAGACCTTGTTAGGGTAAATGGATAGAGTGGTCTCTGGCCAGCACCAGTTCACCATCACCTTGAAGCTGGAGGTCACAAGCTCAGCATAGACCAAACTGCTAATTCAGTCCCTCAGTGCCAATTGAGAACTGTTGGTGCTATGCAGTGAGCACCTTGCCACATTTGTAGAGCCTGGGTTTAATTTGAAGTTTGACTCAAAACTTTTGCTGAACTTAAGCACTTTCTCTTCAGTGGTTCACGCTGGATGAAGTTTCCAAAGGAAAGCTGCACCTAAAGCTGGAATGGCTCACACTGATGCCAGATGCGTCGAACCTCGACAAGGTGCTGTGCAATGTCTTCTTGATGACTAACCACTGCTGATAAGTAAACTAGTCTCTTTGGTTGTGTTGCTACTTGCTTTAAAAAAGTTATTGTCAGATACAGTGGCTCACACCTAAAATCATAGCTCCTTGGGAGGCTGAGATGGGAAGAACCATGGTTCCAGGACAGCCTGGGGAAGAGCTTGCAAAACCCCATATCAACAGGAAAAAGCTGTGCATGGTGGTGCACTCCTGTCATCCCAGCAATGATGGGAAGTGTAAAATAAGAGAGCTGTGGTCCGGGCTGGCCTGGGCACAAAAAAAGAACCTATTTCAAAAATAACCAAGCAAAAAGGGATGGAGGTATGGCTCAAGTGGTAGAGTGCCTGCCTCCAAAGCCCCAGTACTACCAAAAAAAATTATACTATTGATTTTGATTATTGTGCTATAAGTCACTACAATAATGTCAGATAAATTAAAGATAGAAAGTTAAAAATAAAATTTATAGGCATTATACCTATGTAATGAGACCTTGAAAGTTTGTGCTTGTTACAGAATAGTGATGTAGAGAGCCGCATATCACCTTCATTTAATTGCTTAGTGTAATAAGTCTCATCATTGGGAAGATATTTATTGTCTTAGGTCTCAGTCTATTGCATGTATTTTCCACCGTATTTTCTTGAGCCTGATTCATAGAATGTAGGTAGAATATCAGACAGAAGCCAACTGAAGTCATGTGGACATGCATCTGCTGAGGCTTCTCTTCTCCTAGGTGCTGGCAGATATCAGAGCTGACAAAAACCAAGCCGATGATGGTCTTTCATCTGCACTGCTCATCTTGTATTTGGATTCAGCAAGGAACCTTCCGGTAGGTAACACAATGCCAACTCATTTGAATGCTTCATTCCTGATAGCAAAACTTGTTTGAAAACCACTGGTTCGTTCAACCACAATGTGTCATGCACTGTTGTCTGGCTGTATGCTCACTTCACTTCAGTGCAGCAGAGCAGCAGCAGCAGACAGCCACAAGTTAACGTTTGATTTGCATGTGTGCATTTGGCCCTAATTCTTAGAATTTAGTTGCCTAAAAGGAAAATTGTCTCTGTTTGGAATGAGAATGAAATGACGCAGCTCTATGTACAAATCCCAAGTGCAGCTTCACTGTAACGTGACACTGCATAAGCCGCTGAGCCCTGGCAGTCGCCCGACTGAGGTGCAAGATGGTGCCTCCAGACAGGGGTGTGGGATACCTTCCCACAGATCAATGCCTCCTGACAATGATATCTACAGCCTGAAATTGTATGCCTGTATTGTTTATCAGAATTGTTTTGTTCTTAGAAAGAAACTAAAATACAGTAAACTTGGAGAGGGGAAATCCTACTAATGCAATCATTTTAGGTGTAGAGTGATCTTCCACTGTCATGCTTTAAACCCCGTATTTAGGGTAATGTTGCCATTACTGTAAATGTTACATACACTTGTCCACCAGGTGGTCATTCTCTGTTTCATTGTGTGAATGACCAGTTTTGTTGAAAGAAAGAATACTGCTACCCGGTACAAGGGTTTTCCTCTAAGAGGGCCCATTGTGCAACTCCTGCCACAGAGTAGGTTTGTGAGTTTGTGAGTAGGTAGTCCTCAGACGAGGAAGCACTGAAGCACTTCATACCCTTTTCCCACACTATGTAGAGTCCCACCTGACTGTGGGTGAACCACATTTCTTTATGCTTCAGGAGATTGTTTCACTTAACATCTTTCAAGTCTTGAAAATTGTACATTTACTTGGCTTTGCTAAAAAAATGAAGTAAGTATATTTTGTGCAATGTAACATTTTATTTCAAGTTAACAGTTAAAATATAATTGAACTTTTTTGTTTTTGCTCTGTGAGGATGTAATTCTACTCTTCATTTTATGTAACTGCCTGTAATTGTACTCTTTCTTTCAATGAAGGTTTCTTGACAGAACATAAATTCTTAAATTCTTTCTTAGAGAATTTACCTTAACCTTTTGACCAATCTTTCCATCTAAAGTCTGACCAGCTAAGCATGGTCGTACACACCTGTAATCCCAGCACTCAGGAGGCTGAGGCAGGAGGATTGTGAATTTCAGGCAAGCCTGGCCTATATAGTGAGACTCTGACTCAGAAACAAAAGTCTGTGACCTTATCCGTTAACAATTTCAGTTTGGGAAAACAACTTCATTATTATTTAACCTCATATAAAATTTCTCATACAGTAGAATTTTCTGCTTTTGACCACAGTAATGTTTGTTATAAAATGTTTTAGTGTTTTTAATGCCTGAAGTGAATTTAGAGAACAGAGTTGATGAACTGAACAGAACACTCTATAAAACTGTCACATCAGATTAAAGCTCAGGTAATGTCACACAAGCAAAACAAACTGCAGGTGTGCTACTCTTCTGTCACAGGGTATCTAGGGCCTGCACAGCCATACCCCTGCTGTGTCGGGTATTAGTCTGAGCCTTTGCTGGCGGGCCCTGGGTGCCCTGGGAGCCTTTGCCCTGCTCTCCTGTTTATTGTGCTGCTAGTGCGCGCGCACTGATCACAATCCACCATTCTTTGCTTTCTCTTTCCGTCTCCACTTTCCTAAGAGTATCTACGAGGGAAACTTTGGGTGTGGCTACTTAAAAGAGAGGCGAGCGTCGGGACTAGTGTTTTGTGAGAATACTGCCTCAGTCTATAGAGCTCTGTTTGTGAGTCCTCCAGCTCCTTCTTTTGCTCCATGGAGACTGCGCAAGTGTGGCCTGGAGTTTTGTGCAGTCTGCTTGTGGGAATGAAACGCATGTCGTTTTCAGTCTCCTGCATGCCCGCCGTTACCGTGCCTCCACTTGTACTGGTTTTGTAAAATGTTGCACTGTTGACTAGTGCAGCTGACGTGAGATGAACTAACCTGAGATTCCTCAACTGCTACTGGCCCGTAAAAGTTATTTCAAAAACAAAAACAAAAGCAAAGCAAAAGGAAAAAAACCTCCTGTGAGGAAGAAATGAAGCCGTAATGTTAAAATGGGTCCTCTTGTAGTTCATCTCAACGTGAGATGTAAATATTTCTTTGTTAGCTTTCACAAAATTTCCCTAAATCTACCTTTTCCTCCTGACCAAACACAGTAATGTTAGAAACTGGGCTCCCTTCCAATCCATCCCATCAGTTCCCCCTTAGTCACCAGACACAGTCACGTGAGGACAGAGGTCACCCTTTCCAGTGAGAGCTTGACTGTGCCTCATGGCCTCACCAGAGCCCCTAGAGGAGAAAACTCTGTTGGGTCATTGGGTTCACAATTGAGCTTCTTTCTGGGAATTTAAGTAGTTTCTGTAGTGAATAAGTGAGCATTTTGCTGTGATCTCATTGCACCTGCTACCCCTGGCCTGTGTCTGTGGCCTTCACTCCTGGTGCAGTTCTGGGTGCTCACTTCCTCTGGGGTCATAGAAAATCACAAATGACTCACTCATTAGTCTAGAAAGTCACTCTTCAGGTTCTTGTAATAACTAGTGAGATCCCTAAAGTTCAGTTGCCCTTGAATCTAGTAAGTGAAATGCTTTACACTTTTGTAAACTCCATTTCTGTTTTCAAAGGCTTTCCCTGTGCACCCCCAGTTTATTCTTATTTCTCAAAAGAGGGGCTGTTATATGTAAAGAATAGGTATCTAGACCATTTTATAGGTGAGGAAAATCAAAACCCTGACAGATAAATGAGTCACACAGTAGTAAGTGGCACCTTGACCTCTCTGACTTTATCTATTCACACCTGATGAAAGCCTTTTTAAAAGTCAGAAGGAAGCCAGTGTGGTGGTGCACACCTGTAATCCCAGTACCCAAGAGTGTGAGCTAGGAGGGTCTCGAGTTGGAAGCCAGCCTGAGCTACATATCAAGACCCTGTCTCAAAAAAAAACAAAAGTCAAAAGGGGGACTGTAGCGTATAATGCCGACATAATTCTGTCACTTTTTAAGAAAATGACTTCTGCTATGATGTTTCTTCTCGGAAAATGCCATCATAAATGAGTCTAAATAACAAGATCCCTCTGCTGTGTAAATTCTCAGTCTCATTATCTCCAGTAAATCTACAACTTCCTTTTGTAGAAAGCAATTCTTTAATTGTTCTGCAGTGTTTAGCCTATGACATTGCTTGGCTCTCAAAATTAATTCTCCTCCTGCATGGTCAAAAACAACTGAGCTTTATGCTCAGAGTATGTACACCACATAACATGGTCTGTGGAGTAAGTGTGGGACTTTCCTTTCAGCCCACTGGTTTCCAGTGTGAAGACAGATCGGCTTTCTCAGTCTTCCCCAATAGGCTGGGCCATCATCTACAAGTGAAGCTTGAAGATGATGCCAGCCACGCTGTATTACTTTCCCCTACTCAGGGCACCTGAAGTTTCCACTCCATGGTGCATTGTCAAGAGCTCCACCTGAAAACCTAAGCTAGCAGGACTTCCTCTGTGCTGGAAATGACCACTTTATAATATAGACTCAGAACTTTACCTTCCTCCTCCTGATCAAATCTTTCCCGTTTGCTTCAGGCCTGAAGAGTGGAGATGTTCTCTGACCATGGTGGCCAGGCCAGCTTTAGAATCTTAGGCTTACATGGTAACTCTTTGTAAGGAATCTACATGTGAACCTCATTTAATCCCTATCCCATTGCTGTCATTTCACAGAGCAGGAGGCAAACATAGAGAACACAGGCGACCAAGACTAGAGACCCGAGGCCACAACACTTTATCCATTTTAGGGACTCATAGTTGTATATATGGAGTTTATCTGAGATGAGTGCCTGCAGCATTGCAGCTGGCCAGTTGTGGTGGTACATTCCTGTAATTCTAGCACTTGGGAAACTGGGCAAAATGATCATGAACTCGAGGCCAGCCTGGGCAACATAGCAAAACTGTCTCAAAAAACAATGAAAAAGGGAGAAGAGCAGCTGCATAATCGTTACCACCACACATACCCTTAGGGGTGAACATAGCTGCTATTTTGGCTCCTGATTAAGCAAACAAGTGGAGGTGCTGTTCTTACCTCTGTAGATGAAGAGAGACCCAGGAGTGCATGGTGCCCAAGTTCTGAGCCTCACACCTGGACACTGGCCTGAAGAGTTTCAATGACAGGTCTGTCTCACCCCAAGCTGTGCAGCTTCTGTGACCTTTACACAGCAATAGCATCTCTTCCCCACTGGCCCCACACCACAGCTACTCTTACCTCCCTGTAACTGATGCATGTTAGAATATCAAGCACATTTGGCTCCTCATATCTGCCTAGCATGAGCTTCAGGAAAGGCCCCTGTGATGTCTGAACAGCGTCTGTGCTCATTCTTGAGGTCAGGCTCACTCTGAACCATCACCTGGAAGCTGATGGGGAAAGCCTTGTCCAAGCTCCACCAGAGATGGAGGTGGTGGAACCCTGCAGACTGCTTGAGCAAAAGGCCTGGGGTAAGGGCGGGCTTGGTGTCTTGTGGATTCCTACCTCTCCAGGTGCTCTTCTCACCTGTGCAGCTGCCAGTCAAGGAAGACTTGGGAGCTGCTTCTCCATCTTCCTTCATTATCAAATTTGCTACTTAACAAAAAGTTAAAAATCAAGTTCAGTTTGTCATTTGAAGTTAATTACAACTAAAATGGTAAAAAAAAATCTTTACCTCAAATGTGACTGGAGGGAGCTTGCAAAACAACTCAGTCTTGCCCTTTTGAGTAAGAAAATAATGAAAAAACTACACAAAAGTAGTGTATAAAACTTTAACAGCAGGACATAATTGAAGCCAAGAGAAGCTCTTAGCTTCTGCATCTGGAAAGGTAAGGGAGAGCGTGGAAAAGCAGGCAAGTCTCAGAAAGGACCGGCCATTCCAGGTGGGCCTGGCTCTAGCAATGTGGGCAGCATGGCCACTGCTGTGCCTCAAATGAGACCCCTGATTACCACAGGGGCTTATTCAGGCAGGGCCTTTCCTCAAGTCTCACTGCGGCATTTTCCAAATTGCAAAGGACAGGGCTGGGAAGTTAAGGGTCGAGTTAAGGAACTGTGTCTTGATGTTCGTAGATCAAGGTTCACTCTATGGTAAAATCTTGGGCGTAAAGAAGAATTTGATAGTTGTTTGCGTAACACTTGGTTTGGTTTAAATTTTTTGTTCTCATGAATTTTTGTGTCATTAACCTTACATAAACTCCTCATTGCATGTTTTATTAACCCTTGGTGTATTCATTTTCTTCTGACTTGAAAGAGTAATCCATTAGACTTTAACCCCGGTGTCTTGAAGAAGACTGCAGTTCAGAGAGCTTTAAAGGTAAACGAAGTGTTCCCTTGAGGGTCACGGTGTTAATCAGGACATATTGAAAGAGATGGTACTTTTGACTCCGTAAGTATGTGGGCAGATTGCCTCCCACGCTAATGTAGTAATTGATTGTCAGGTGGAAAAGATCCTGCTTTTGCTATCCAAGAATTGGTAGTTAAAAGAAATTATAACTCCTAAAGTAAATGTATAAAGTTCCAATATGATAAGTTAGATTTCCTTGTCTCTAAAGTGGTTGATATATCTATATTTTGCTTGGATTTGAATCTGTGAAAATGGTGATCTAGAAGTGCTATTTAAAATCTTGACCCATTTTTACATTATAATTTAAAGATCCACCTTGCAAACTGTGAGTGCACATTGAAGAAATCACCTCTTCCAATATGTTGAGTAGGGACAACCTAATGGCTTTGGTGCTTCGGGTTTGGGTGATCGATCTTTCCAGAAGCTTAAAATTTCATCAAATGAGGTATATTGAAAACTAAGCTCCACCCCCTAAAACATTACCCTAATCTGTGTTCTCTGGCTAAATTGTTAAACGTTTTCTATTACTTCTAAGGTTTTATTTCTCTAATTTCTCTGAAGATTTTAGGCTTAAATAATTGGGAGGGAGTATTTTAAATGTAACTATTTTTTAAAAATTCCCAAAGAAACAAGAATTTCTTTAAGCCAATATCATTAAGAAAAATAAGTTAAATTTCAAAAATGAAGGAGACTGGCAAGACTGCTTTCCAGTGTTGTGCTATTCTGAGACTGAGGAGGTGTTGGGTAGAGTTGTAGAAGTTGCCCTCTGAGTGCTGGCCACCAGTGGCTGGCTGCAAAGCCTGTACCATCCAGCCCTGAATGACCTGAGAGCAGCCCTTTCTACTCCCTGTGCCTTTGCTGTGTGAAGGTTATTGGCCAGCAGATCACAGTGGTCGAGAAGGAAGGCTCTACAGTCAGTCTGCTCAGCAGTGTGACCCATAGGGGATATTTAGTCTGTCAACAAAATGGAAGTAACATCTTCTCTACTGGATTACTGAGTAAATTACAATAATGCATACAAAAGTGCTTTTGGTAGGGAAATAGGCACATTATAATTGTCATGTTATCACATTAGTTTGTTTAAGCCTAACAACAGGTTCTAGAAATGGAACTGTGTCCCTTTTGTAAATGGGGAAACTGAGGCTCAGATCAGTGAAGCATGTAGGTCTCAATAGGGAGAGCTTTAAATTCAAGACAGTGTGACTTGAAAGCTCATCTTTTCCTTATAGTTTATGCTTTTGATTTGTCATGATACACAAATCAAATGAATGTTGAGTCATGGTAGAAAACTTAGTGAGTTATTAACTATTTCACATCATCTAAAATGTCCCCTATGTTCAGGTATACCATTGTGTTACTTACCACTGAGAAAGATTATAAACTGCCAGCTAAACATTGATAGTGTTTATTTTATGCTTACTGAAAATTTTTAGACTTAGAGTAAACATAGATTTTTAGCATGTCACTCACATGCGTCTAAAGAGGAAAACAGCGAGATAAGCTGGTTAAGTCAGTGACAAGTATCTCTCTACTGCCCACTGCCCAGAAGCAGGTGTCTAGTGTTATCAGTTGTAAGTTTCATTCCAGTTTCGGAGATGTCAGAAAGTGGGGAAAAAATGTGTCTTAAAATCTTAAGACACAGAAAATCTCTAGGAATGAGTGTTCACTTTTTCAGTTAAGGAACAACCTCAGGATCTCTATTAAAGACTCAGAGTAGCAGCGGCTGCAGCAAGACCAACATTTATGTCTGTGGCTCTGCTGTCCCCCACCTCATGGGTGAGAAGGGGCAGGAGAGACGCCCTCCTTACCTGGCCATGCCTCACTGCAAGGGAGGTGTGGGGATGGAATCTGTGTTCACAGAGAACTTATGCTCTGCTCACACATGGAGATGCTATATTAAAGGAAGAAAGGAAATGAATGTATGGGGAAGTCAGTCGTCTATGACATTGCATATTTTTAACAGTATTCATTTCATTTTGCAGACTTCACATCAAAAAGATGAATCAGGAAATAGATTAGCACAGATTGTTTGGGATAGTCATATTTTTCCAATAATTGGATAACTTTGACACCTATTTCTGTCATTGCTACAGTGTTGAAGATTGACTATAAAATTATTTACTAAAAACATATTTGTGACTCTCTAATTTCCACTAACATATAATTAACTGCATAGTCTTGTGGGGCTAAGTTAAAAAATAAACCTCATGTCACATATCTGTTGTGTTTTATTGTTTTCTTCTGCCAGCTGTCTAAAGTGTGCTTCTTGCCGGTTTTTTTCTTATTTCTAAATTTTTATCATATTTATATTTGCTTTATTTTATGTAATTTTAAGCTGATACTCTTCCAATCAAAATTACTTAACAGCTGGTAAGCAAGATTTGAAGTGTGAACAGAGGATGCAAGGTTAAAAACGTAAAGCTGTGCATCTGAAAATTTACAGTGTTCCATTACTCTTAACTGGAGAACTGTTTTGAAGTACCATCCTCTCACATTCATCTTCTCTCCTGTTTTAGTTTCTCCTCATTGCACTTTATTATCCTAGTAAATAAGTTTTTAAAACTATAGTTAACATTGCAGTTCTTTTGAAGGTTCAATTTCCCCAAATAGCTGACTTTAAAAATAAAAAACCGTACTATTTAAAAATTTGTGCATCCTGGCACAATGGTAGTAAGTCCTGGTAGTCCAGCCACTTGACAGGCTGAGGCAGGAAGATTACTCGGTCCTGGGAGTTCCAGCCCAGCCTGACCAACATAGTCAGAGCCATCCCCCAGAATAGAAAACAGAAAGAAATGTGCGAATGGAAATTTTCTTAATCTGTTTCATGGTAGAAATAGTTATGGCTCAGGCTGTGCTTATCAGTTGTTTTTCAGTTAAATTGTTTCCACATGCTGTTTGTTTCTGAAGTACCAGAGGTAAATAGAAATGACTCTTACTATCAGCCATTAATTTCATTTTAGTAGGACCCATTTCAAAACATGTCTTGTTTATTTTGCATTTTGTTTTTGTTTCTGGACAGTCAGGGAAGAAAGTAAGCAGCAACCCAAATCCTCTTGTCCAAATGTCAGTCGGTCACAAGGCTCAAGAAAGCAAGGTACGTTGCTGACATGTGGCTGGCTTTCAGACCAACTCATGTGGTCACGTGTGTCACTGCCACCTGCAGTATTCAAAGCATGCAATGTGTAGGAATCGAGACCATTGCTTTCTATATCTTTTTTTTCCCCTTAAAATAGTTGTTTCACAGATAACCAAATGTTTAAGTTTGTTAATAAATGTATTGTTTATTTTTTTAAAGTAGCATGGAAAAATACCATATGAATGTACTTTTGTTTGATTTCATGGGTAGATGCATGGGAACAATTCCCAAGTTTCTTTTTTAATACTCTATAAATATTTAGTTTAAAAATAACCAATAGTACTTAAAATTCAACAAATATTGTTAGGTTCAAGAATGGAAAGAAGGTATTGCTATTGCTGGAATGTGTTCTGCTTTCCTGATCAGAGAGAAAACATCTCATTATTTATTAAAGGTTACAGACCATTGTTCACTTTTAACTGTTACCCCTTTAAGAAGCAGGCTATGTGCACTGCCAGGCCATGCATCAAGCAAACCAGGTCTTGGTCTCTGGAAAAATGGGTTAGGGTTCTGAAGGAACTGCTTCCTCCACACACTCAGAAAGTTTTGCAGTCTCTCCATCTTTCAGAGTTTCCACCCTCACTAGTATACTAGTTCATACTCAGTAAATACATCTCTGGGAATTTGATTGAAGTCATCCTGTGCTTCCAAACACATTAAATGAGTAATCACAGTGTTGGTAGTCCTTTTCCACAGAATGCATCACAGAGCTGATATTGGACTGTTTGTTCCAGATTCGGTATAAAACCAGTGAGCCCGTGTGGGAGGAAAACTTCACTTTCTTCATTCACAACCCCAAGCGTCAGGATCTTGAAGTTGAGGTATTTTACTTGCATTTTTTAGCCTCTGTGTTTAAATATAATTCACATACAATAAGTTGTACACATTTAAAGTTTACAGTTTGATGAGTTGTGAAGTGTACATGTGTATGTATGTTCATCTATGTATACATGTGTATATGTATACACACACACACACACACACACACACGGATGCATTACTACAATAAGGACAATTGGTTTTTATGTATTAGTAGGTTCTCATACAGCGCTACTAAATTTGCTTGTTAGTTCTTTATGTAGCCAAGGCTGGCCTTGAATTTGTGATCCTCCTGCTTCAGCCTCCCAAATGCTGAGACTACAGGTATGTACCACCATGCTTGGCGCTTGTTAATTTAAGTATCTGTTCTATGAAGATCTTAAGATTTTTGTGTGGACAGTTGTGTTATCTGTTGATGGTGACCGTCTACTCTCCATTGTTCTTCTTGCCTGTACCCCTCCTCCCTCTCTGCACAATGGAGAGCTGGTGCACAAGATGTCTGGCTCTTGCCATCCCTGTGTGTTACTACTGAGTCTGGTCTCCCCAGATGCCTGTTATTTGGTTGAGGACATTCCCTGTGCTCCTCGTTCACAGAGCGTTCTCGTAGTTGGGTTGAATTTCACCTAATGGCTTTTTTGACATCTATTGAGATGATCATATGGTTTTTCTTTTTAAGTCTGTAAATATGGTTGAAGTATGTTGTTGATTTTCAAATGTTCAATCTTGCAGAGTTTTTATTTGGAAATCTTCCAAGCAAGTTTTTATTTGAGGATAAGCCCCATTTGTTTAGTCCTTTTTACATGTGTTCAATTTGATTCTTTAAAGTTTTTGCATCTTACTCATGAAAGATACTGATCTGTACTTTTGTTTCCTTGTAATGTCCTTTTCCATTTTGGTGTCAAGGTAATGCTAGCCTCCTGAATGAGTTAGGAAATGTCCCTGCTCCTAGATTTTCTGGAACAGTTTTGTAGAATCTGTATGATTTTATTTATTTGTTTAGCCCTACATACTTGGTAGCCTACAGTTTTCATTGTGAGGTATTTTAACTCAAACTCAGTTCATCAGTAGCTACATACCTGTTTCTTCTACATGAATCATGATATTTATGTCTTTCAAAAAATCTGTTCATTTCATCCACATTGTTGAGACCTTATTGGTATAAGGTGACTCCTCCAGGACCTACTGAGACGATGCTTGCTCCATCTATCCGTCTCTAGCTCTCTCGTCTGTGACATTTGTCTCTTCTGTTTCTTCTCAGTCTGGCAAGATGTTTATTGATTTTATTTTCTCAAAAGTAGCCTGTGGCTTCATTGATTACCATTACTGCTTTTCTCCCTGTTTCTGTGGTTTCTGCTCATTTCGTGTCTCTGCCTTTTGACCTTCATTTGCTTCTTTTTACTTAAAGTGGCAGCTGATTTGAGACCTTTTGTAGCACAGGCGTTTGGTTGATGTAGCTTAAGTTCTTGTGGTTTCATTTTCATTCCTTTTGATAATCTCCCTTTTAATTATTATTATTTCCTCAGTGATTCCCCTTGCATTTCTTTCTTGAGTTTGGGGTTACTCACTTAAAAGTGTGTTAATTAATTTTTAAGTATTTGGGGATTTTTTTTTTTACATCTTTAAACAACAATAGTTGATTCTAATTACATTCCATAGTGATCAGAGAACATGCTTTGCATGACTTGAGCTTTTTACATTGAGACTGCTTTTGTGATGTAGTCTTGTGCCTTTTCATCGATAGGTGAGGGCTTTGCAGAGGTCCATAGGCCATGTTTTCTGTCTGCTCTGTGTCAGGGGTTGGCAGCATGGAGCTCAACTCTCACATTATCCACTGTGCATCCATTTGTTTTTCCTCTCCATCTCTGGTTTTGCTCCATGCATCCTGAACCTTTGCTAATAGATGCGTGAACAGTGAGGATGTTAGGGCTTGTCAAGATGCCTTGTTTCATTACTCTGTGTTTGATGTTTTATATTTTTACATTGTTTTGTATGTAAAGATTTGTATTTTGTCTACCTAATTTTCCTCCATAAATTGTTCTTAAAAGAGTCCATACTTACTGAATCCTCTTTATTTTTTTTGTGGTGCTGGGAACTGAACCCACAAAATCTTAACTCATTATGATTTTATGCATGCTAGATGAGTGCTGTACCGTTGAGCCATATTTCCAGCCCAGCTGGATCTTGGATTTTTAAAAATAACTTAAAATTCTGTGAACGTTGTCATAGTTATTTCACTTAAAATTGCTTTTGTGCTGGTGGCATGGCTCAAGTGGTAGAGTGCCTGCTTTGCAAGCACAAAGCCCTCAGTTCAATCTCCAGGACCACAAAAATAATTGCTTTCATAATTACAGTTTTAAAAGAAAAAAGCAATCAGACTTTTAGGTTTTCCTATGTGTTGACTTCTGACCATTTTCATATAGCTTGTGAAGCCTCTGGAATTCTTAATTTGTTTCAGCAACCAATTTTGTACAGCAGTGTGATGGGATTTGTTCTTTCTGCAGGGACAATGCTGAAGGTTATTGTTCAGGAGAAAGAAATTGCCATGTATGTAGAGTAGATAGTCAACTTTCAAAACCACCATAAATAAGAGTCACCAGTAGACACTCCATGCATATCACTGTAGATGTGCATTCCATCATTTCCACAGGGTATGTAGACTGTAGCAACTCCTAACTCAGAGTTGCTCATAATAGATGCATAAAACCTGATAGTCTTTGTTGTGCTCATTATGATTTTGTAGTGGGAAATGACAGAGACATCTCACTTATGGCAATGGCTATCTTCCTGAAGAGGTTTCCTACCATGATCATTCATAAAAACACTACTTAAAGGAATATGACTTAAGCCAGGTGCCAATAGCTCAGGTCTATAATCATAGCTAAGATCTGGAAGATTGAGGTTCGAGGCCAGCCGGGCAAATAGTTCAGAGACCCCTATCACCAAAATAACCAGAGCAAAATGGATTGGAGGTATGGTTCAAGTGGTAGAACAGCTGTTTTGCAAGTGCGAAGCCCTGAGTTCATACACCCGTCACAGGGCTGAAGTGTTTTTAAAAGGCTAATTTATGGACCTTTCTGTGTTTTCTGAAGTTTCTGCACCTTTTCCTTGCAGCTCAGTATTTTCTCCCTGCAATTTGTAGGTTAAGGATGAGCAACATCAGTGCTCTCTGGGGAATGTGAAGGTCCCACTCAGTCAGCTGCTTACAAGTGATGACATGACCATAAACCAGCGGTTCCAGCTCAGCAACTCAGGTCCAAACAGCAGCTTGAAAATGAAGATCGCTCTCAGGGTACTATGCCATCTTTCATGGGATGCAGTAGTGGGAGGGAAGAAGAAGAAAGCAGCTGCTCACATTGCTGCCCCTAGTCCTAACTAGTGTGGCAGGTGGTGTGGGGGCACAGGGTAGACAATGTGATGGCCACAGGACACAGTGCTGGGAGCCAGCTGGAAGTGCTGTTTGCTGTAGCTTTGCTTCTTAAAAGCAGAGAAATCCTTAAACCATCTTAGCAGCCCCACAGTAGGGGGACTTGCTGGATACAGAACCTGCTCAGTGGGCCGTGCCCATCACCCCAAGATCCATAGTGGGAGGCACAGGCAGCATGACTGTCCTTTGTTGCTGCTCCACACCTGGTGTTTAGGGTCATCTTCCTGCAAACAGGGGACCCGGGTGCTCTTCCTTTACCTGAGGCTTCCTGTGTAAACCACCTTTGTAGAATGAGGGATTTTGTCTTCTGTCACGGGCATATGGCTTAGTGGGCTCCTGTGGTGAGAACATTGTCCCACAACAGTGGAGAAATATGTGCAAGTGGAAGAGACTAGAGGAAGGTTCATATGTGGTATTTTGACTATTTAAAGTGCTTTTTCTAAACTCTGAAACACAGTATGACTAGTCTTACCTATTCAGCTATTCAGCTAGTCTTATTCTAAGACTAGGTTGTTTTTGAGCCAAGTTTTAAAGAAATACTTGCAGATGAATGTGTCTAAAGTCACTCATGTATCAAGATGTTACTAGCATCACTTGTTTTAGATTTATTTCCACTTCTAGGTACTCCATCTTGAAATGCAAGAAAGACCTCCAGACCACCAACATTCAGCTCAAGTGAAACGACCCTCTGTTTCCAAAGAAGGGAGGAAAATGCCTGTCAAATCTCAGATATCTGCATCTGGTGGCAGCACTGGTGGCAGCAGTGTGACTCCATCCACACCAGTCATTGGGGGCCGTGATGAGCCTGGTGTGGAAGAGAAGGCCCAGCCCCCCGAGGCTAGCCCTCCAGGACAGCACGACTTGGGCAGGAGTTCCTCCAACCTCCTGGCCTCTCCGAGCCACGTCTCAGCCAAGGAGCCCACGCCCAGCATCGCCTCAGATATATCCCTCCCCATTGCCACCCAGGAGCTGCGGCAAAGGCTACGGCAGCTTGAAAAGTAACTAATGCTCACAGCATTGTAAATTAGTTTGCATCTACATCCCCACACCTAGGGCTGTTGTTAACACCATTGGAGTTCATGACCCCCATACCTAGGATTGTTAACATCATCGGAATTCACATCCCTCACACTGAGGGTTGTTAACACCATCTGAGTTCACACCCCCCACATCCCAGGGTTGTTAACAACTCAGAGTTCAATCCCATACACCCAGGGTTGTTGCCAATACCATTGGAGTTCACGTTCCCAGATACCACAGGGAGGGAGATAGCCTTTCGGTAGTAGAAGAATTTTGGATTGTGTTGCTGCTTTTCTCCATCTTTGACTTTCTAAATTAAACCTGTTGTTTTGTAGGGGCTTGCCATCTAAGATGAGGGATGATGGAGCAAGAGGTTTCACAGTAGAAAAGGCACAAGGCAGTTCTGTGAGCTCAATTTAGACCAGAGACAGACTAGAAGGGTCACCTGTGGAACCTTATGTGTGATGTGGGGTGTGGCAGAAGCTTGGCTTCTTGCTGCAGAAGAATAGGTCCGATCCTTTCATGGGTATCAGCATCCCATTAACACCATCTGATCCGTCTTTGCTTGTCTTTGGATGTTTGTAGGGTTTGTTTTGTTTGTTTTTGTGCTACTAGGGTTTGAACTCAGGGCTCTGTACATGCTAGGCATGTGTTGTACCCCTTGAGACATTCCCCCAGCCCTTTTTAGTTTAGTTATTTTTCAGGTAGAGCCTCAAGTTTTTGCCTAGGACTGGCTTCAGACTGTGATCCCCGTACCTATGCCTACCACATAGTTTGGGTGACAGGAGGTATTATGCCATCATGCCTGGTTTATTGGTTAAGATAGGATCTTGCTAATTTTTTGAACTGGCCTCAAACTATGATCCCCAAAATTCACTTCCCAAGTTGCTGGGATTACAAATGTGAACCACCACACCCAGCTTGATTTCTTATTTAAGTCCATGATTCATAGATGTGCTGATGGTTTTTTTGGATAAGGAAGAAATGGTCAGTTATCACACACTTCAGATGCTAACATTTCCTGTGGTAAAAGTTAATCAGCCTTTGAAACTGCTCTTCCTGTTGTCATCAGAGGTGTGCTGAGTTATAGGAGCACTAGTAAGAGAAATGGAGACAAAGGGAGAAACATGTTTCCTCCTTAGTGGCTGTGAAAGCAATAGGACGACAGCGTTTGCCCTGCCCCTGTTTTGGAGACATACTTGTTTTCTGCCATCAAACTTTTTCATGCATGGGCTGGGCATGTAGTTCAGTGGTAGAACACTTGCCAGTTGCACAAAGTGTGAGGCCAACACTGCCAAGCTAAGACCCTGGTATTGATTTTCCGTATCTCACTTCCACTTTAGACACACCTGAAAAACTTCCACTTTTGAGTAATTACTGAACTCTGTAGTATAATATGATCTAAACTCAACTATACCCCAAAGTTTCAAACTATTTTAAGTTCATGGGAAATTCAACTCCTTTTTGTGTAAATGAATTTAATTATCTTACTGTGTACACTGTGCCGACAAGCTACATCTCTTTGACAGTCAAGGGAAGGCTGGTGACCTCTGCTCTATTTCCCCAGTGGGACGACCCTGGGCCAGTCCCCCCTAGGCCAGATCCAGTTGACGATTCGCCACAGCTCCCAGAGGAACAAGCTCATCGTGGTTGTGCACTCCTGCCGGTGAGCCCCCCTGCCCCTGCTGATGGTTGTCTTTTATGTGATTTCATCTGTTTCAGTAGTAGTTTCAAATAGGATATAAAAGCCTGTTGGAAGCAGGGGAAAATGCAGCTGGTGACATTTAGAAATGATGATATGAGTGTAGAGCTCAGTTCAATATATAATTGCAGCACACCTTGTATATTCTTGCTACTAAGGTAACAGCCAAGAGAGGCAGGAGCAGCAGAGGCTGCAAACAGGCCTAATGACAGTCTGCCTGACTGGACTTCCGAGCCAATTCTCAACTGTGTCTGGCTTATAACCAGCCATCCTGGTAAAAGAACAGGGTCAGCTTCATGAAGGAGGGAGACCCTGCATAGGATCTGGATAGGTGGGGGTCAGTATCCCAGGCAGGCACTGAAGAGTGGACCAGTGTCCACTTAAGGTTATGCTGACAGAGGGCCTGAGTGGTCTCATGGGACCTCTCAGAGGCTGACTCACTTGACCAAAGGCTGGCTCCTATATTTTTTTGTCAGGATGACATAGCAGAAATGCTGAGGACAAATGTTAGACACAGATCAAGGACTTAGAAAGTCCCCCAAACTCTGAGCTCAAGAAGCAGAGACAGGGCTGGTGGAGTGGGTGGCTTAAGTGCTGCTTAGCAAGCCTGAGGCCCTGAGTTCAAACCTCAGTTAAAAAAAAAAAAAAGTCCAAAATAAAAAAGGAGTGGAGGCAAAAGTTGTCTCTGGCAAAGCCACTGAAAGGGAAGTTGAGAGAGACAGCAAGCAAATGGGAAGGCAAAGTCACACCACAGGATCTGGTGTCCCTTACTTTTTGTTCTTGGTGTTTAGGAATCATTAAGTCAAAACTGATAAGGTAAATTGAATGGGATGGTATCCTCATTTTACTACATTCTGACATCTAGTGTTCTCTGGTTTGTGTTTTGAGAAATCTCATTGCCTTCTCGGAAGACGGCTCTGACCCGTATGTTCGCATGTATTTATTACCGGACAAGAGGAGGTCAGGAAGGAGGAAAACACACGTGTCAAAGAAGACATTAAACCCCGTGTTCGATCAGAGGTATGTAGACTCCATTCAGCTGAGAAGAGGTTGCTTATTAAAGAGGCCTTTTGAGCTTCATGTGGAAGTGCCAAACATAGTTAACCTAGGTTATAAACACTGTACAGGGAGACCAGTAATGAGAAAAAGATCACGTTGTTGATGACTCTGAAGAGCTTTCACTTTGGTGCATAATGAGTATTAAACTTATGTGTTGTGAGTTAAAACTGAGAACTGAAAGATACGTATATTTTAAATTTATTTTGCAATAACAATGAGTTGGTAACATCTTAAAATGTAACTTTTGTGGAAAACATCTATTTTCTAAAACAGTCTTCTAACTTACTGAAAACACCATTACATCTTGCAGATCTCATGAGTGGTCTGGCTTAGTAGAAGCTAGCATTGGCTGGTGGGGCCAGTCTAATGGGGAGAGTTGCTTGAGTGGCGTCAGGAACCTCCAGGCATCCCCAGGTTGCCAGTGTGTGCAAATGATTTCTTATATCTTAGTCCCCGGGCAGCATGAAAGCTGCAAGTATTTTGGGAAGAGTGCTTGGCTCAGCTCCATCTCATCTGTAAGGGTGCTGCTCACTGACCATGTTTTCATCCCAGGAACTTTACTTAAACCAAAGGTCAGAAACTGAGCTGGGCATGGTAGTATATACCTGTAATTCCAGAACTGACGAGGCTGAAGCAGAAGGATTGTGAGTTCAAGGCCAGCCTGGGCTACCTAGCAAGACCTTGTCTCAAATAAACAAACAAAAAAACCCAAAGGGTCAGAATCTGGCAGGCGAGCAATAAGAGGAGAATCCAGTTTTGTAAGAAAAAGTAAACAATGTTTGGAACGATCTACTAAGCAGAAATGTCACTGCATTTGAATTATGGAGGAACTTCAGTAAGCTCTCTGCTCCCATTTCAGCTTTGATTTCAGTGTTTCACTCCCTGAGGTGCAGAGGAGAACACTGGACGTAGCAGTGAAGAACAGTGGCGGCTTCCTGTCCAAAGACAAAGGGCTTCTTGGCAAAGTAAGTTTTAAAAACCCTCTGTAAAAACCTTCAAGTGCATGTTTTAGACCATACCTGTGTAAATGGGTTAGTAGTTGTTTAAAAAATGATGCTGAGACATCAATTCCTTCTGAAGACATTTTAAGTTGGTTTTATTATTATGTGTTCATATGATTGGCTTATTAATCATATTAATGCCAGGAACTTCCAGTTGAAGAAAGGTCGATTTTAAAAATTTTGTTCAACACCAAAGAGCCCCTCCTCAACTAATCTCACAGTTCTTCCTCTCTTACATCATGGGCTTTGTCTTTCTGAATGTCTCTTAGTTTTTGTCCATCCTCACATTTAACTTTTGCATAAGATTATGTATTCTTTACTAGTGTATATAAGGGTCAGTTAGGAAAGAGAGTTTTTGGGGCTGTAGACACCATGTTGTCAGCAGCAGCAGCACAAATAACCTTAAAAGGTATGATGCCTTTGCCGGTCACACTTTCTCTTCACAAATACTTGAGAGGCAGTTTGAAGGAGGAAAGACTTTTTTTGGCTCACAGTTTCAGAGGTTCCAGTCCATAGTCACTTGGCTCTGTTGTTTCTGGGCCTTGGCAAGGCAGAGTGTTGTGGTAGGGAGCATGTGGCAGGGCAGAGGCATTCATATCATGGTGTCCAGGAAGCAGAGAGACAGGAAGGGGTCTAAGCAGGGTGCAGTAGACCCATAGCATTGCCATTAATGTCATATTGCTGACACCCACATAAATCTTCTGTACTAATGTATCATAATAACCTAAAAACTACTGATCCAAGAGATACTGGAGGATCTCTTGGATATAATCAACCTTGTAATCTATAGGTGAATCATAAGGGTAGAAAAAGTGAGAGCTTCAAGAAAAAAAGAAAGCTGGGGCATGGACCAAGTACAGTACAGTCTAGCAAGTGCGAGGCCCTGAGTTCAAACCCTAGAACTGACAAAAGAAATTGAGATAGAGAGAGAGAGAGGTTGTAGAGACGCTGCGAAAGATCTGAAAGGAATTACTTGGCCACTTTTTTTGACCCTCAGGTACTGGTTGCTCTTGCATCTGAAGAACTCGCCAAAGGCTGGACCCAGTGGTGAGTATCCCTATCCCAAGCTACGGGCTATCTCAGGGAAGCCCAGCCTGTGTCCAGGCCCACAGCCAAGCCTGATCCATGTCTATTGTACTCCTCTGTGCTTAATCAGGTATGACCTCACAGAAGATGGGACGAGGCCACAGGTGGTGACGTAGCCACGCTGGACGTGAGGCATCTTTCTCGGTGTATTTCCCCCTTGACTTGGAACACACTCTCTTGCAGATGTACCAATGCTATTTTTATAATCGCGTGTATTGAGTTATACATACCTTAATAATTTTATAAAACTGTTGGCATTTAAGGCATATTTGGCCAATATTACTGTTAAACTTTGATGTTGAGTTTCTTCTAGTGCTCTGCCAGGTACTGTGGTGTGCAGTGGGGTGGTACCGCGTTCCTGTGCCACATGGAACTCTGTCAGCTGCATCTGCTATGAAGCAACACCTGTACCTGCCTTACTCTTGTCCCACATCACTATGCCATGTATATAGACTCTATTTTTATAATCTCTACAAGCTGGTTTGGATGCAGAAGAACATGGATCAAGGAAATACATATTTTCTTCTAAAACTCATTAAATTCTTATGACAAATGAACATCTTCATCTTTGCAGCAAAAAGTTCTGTGACCTGTTTTATGGTGTGTCTTTTTAAAAGGGAAAATAGAGAGATTAAATATTAGTATGTTTCTGCCCACTATGAATGATAAAGGATTCAAGATATTAACATTTTACACATACAGTTATGTTATTAAGAAGTCAAGTGAAGGGCTTAAAGAATGTTACAGGACTGAGTCATATAAAATGCCAAAAGAATTTTCATGGTTCATAAGTCACAGTAAACTGCCCCAAAATTTCTTACATAAAAAGAAATGTCTTGATTATTTTTAGTTGCTCAATGTAACTGATTACAAGAGGCACACCTGTCAGGCACAGTGGTGCACACTGGGAGCTAAAACAGGAGAATCGCGAATTTGAGGCTGGCCTGGGCTAACATAAAAATACTGTCCCAAATAAAATCAAAAATAGATGCATAGTTTCATACGTTTCCCAAACCACAGGAAGAGACTTAAAATGTTGTCAGGTAAGCTGTTGTCCACATCAGTTGTGAGCTTGGTTGGCTTTCAAGTGCTCCAGCCCATGAAGACAGAGGTGCACGTTGGAGTTATAAGGCTGTGAAGCAGATCATGATGAGTGGGTCAGACATTGCACTCACAATGAACAGCCATCCACTTGCTGTCAGTTTGTTAACCTGGCTCAGCATCACAGAGGATACACACCTCAGAACTGGAGTTTGCTGACCTGCTGATGTGGGCTGCCACAGGACCAGGCATTATACCCAGCACCAACACAGTAGCTTCCTGAGTTTTCTCGTTTTATGCCAGGACACTTCTTAATATTGAGATATTGTTATGAAGTTTTTATTTTTGGATTCTTTTTAGATTATTGAAAGCATGTTTCATGTACTTAGCAGTGCCCCAAAACCTCTGTTGAGGTGAGGCTATATAACAGTGTTACAAGCTACGCATGTCTATAAACAAAGTATGCACATATGCAGAAAGATTTTTCAGTGTATATGTTAAAGCTGTAGGATGAAAAGGGCTTCCTTAGCCATGAAAACATCTAGGACTGTGTGTGCACACTCTGGAAATACAGCTTGGAGTCAACTGGAGATGTTCCTGGAACTAAACAACTGTGAGTAATAGCTCATGTAACCAAACATACCAAAGTGCCTCTGGTGGACGCTCATTGCCATTTTCACGTGCTCTGTCCAGCGGATTCAGTTTTGTCTCAGTTTGTGACTTAGACCTTGCACCATGGGTGTATTTGTAATGGAGTCTGCAGCTTCACAGCACATCACATATCATTGTAGGACCTGTGTGATCTCACTCTGCTGTCCGCCGACACTTTCCTCTCTTGTCTCTTTATAAATTATTTCTAATCAGCATAGGATTGGCTATTCTGGAAGGAAGTTATGAGTATGTCACACATATGACCATATACGCACATAAAACATTTAACTAGTATTTTAGTAGCAGGAGAAAAACAGTAATACCTTATTAAATCTAGTTACTTATCCATTGTATTAAGTTTTTTTTTTTAAGTATTTTTTTTAAAAATTAGGTCCGTGGAAGAGTTTCTGTCATGATCTATAAAGAAGAAGCACTCAATGAAATTTTATCATACCAGTAATTTTTACCAACATCCTAGACATGTGGGTTTTTGCACCCACATACTCAATTGTGTTCAATGTATATTTTACTTAATGTAATGTTCTAAGCACTTAGGGAAAATGGATGCAGTTAAGGATTTAAAGCCCAAAGGAAGCCAGTGAAGCAGCACAACTTGTTACCCTCTGCCACAGTGAGGTCCAGGAGCCATCTCCGTTGACCTTAAAAGGAAGAAGGACAGGGAAGATGTAGGGCACTAGGCACCTCCCAGCTGTGATTCTGTCTATGCTGTGTGGGAAGGTTGTGGATCACCCATCAAAGCCATGCTCAGCACTCCAGGATCCTGGTGACAGCAGGCACCATGAGTTCTCAAAATGTGACTTGTAGTTTTCAGTGATCAATTTACCTAGGAAAGGGGAACTTCACTTTTTCTTCTTTGAACCAAACCAATGGAGGGAGAATTAACTGAGTTGAATTTGAAGTGCAGCTCTGCTGGCTCGTACACGTGGGTTGCTTATCTTGTGCCTTAAAGTTTGAAAGCGTTTCCAAGCCTCAATTGAAAACAGAAGCAGCCTTGTTGCTGTGTTTACCACAGTTTATATTCTGCACTCCGAGAATCCTTTTACAGATAACCCTCATCAAGAGGCCAGCCCTTGTTAAGAATCTAAGGCCGACGAGATCAGCATAAAGAGCCATGGGCTTACTCTGGTTGCTGCGTCGACTCCAGTCCTGGCTGAACTACCCACTGCAGGGGGGGAACAGCAGAGAGTTTTTTAAATCAGAGGATGTCCTTTTTGCTTAACTAATTTTACATGATAGCGCATGTATTTATTCAATAAAACTTTTATGTTAGCTCATTTGTGATTTGTTTTTCCTTGGTCTTTTGAAATGAAATTTTTAGTGTTGGACCAGGTAGGTTGGAAAGCCAATATATTGTACCCTACATATTGCTGTTGTGAGTTCTTTCATTTTAGTCATTTGATACTGTGCCTCCTGTTCCCATCTTTGCTTGACTCCTCGCTGCTTAGCTTACTAACCTCTGGGTTATAAAAGCAGTGCTTCCGAAGAGTAATTGTAAGTAGGGAAAATAGACCCCAAATGTCTTTTATACCCAGAGCACTAAAAAGTCATGAACACTGAGGAAAATGGGAGGTATTCATACTTTTCAAATCCATTAGTGATGACTGGAATGGGTTTCAGTGGACACTCAGACCTTTTCTTGGCCTCTCCTTTTACATGTAAGTGTCTTCACTCAGTTGCTGAAATGACTTTCCTTGGTTTGTTTGTGGGTTTTTTTTTTTTCCCCAGTATTGGGGTTTGAACTCAGCCTACACCTTGAGCCACTCTACCAGCCCTTTTTTTGCTTTTTGTATTTTTTCTTTTTGATAGAGTCTCACAGTGTTGCCCAAGAATTCACTATGCAGCCCAAGATGAGCTTGAACTCATAACCTTCCTCCCTCAGCCTCCCAAGTACTGGGATTATCGGTGTACACCACCAGACCCAACTTCCTTTACCCTTATAATGTCTTTGCTTTCCTTTTTTTGTAAAAAACAAAAATGTGCTGGGGCTAGAACTCAGGGCCTCATTCATGCTGAGCAAGCACTCTCATCACTGGGCTATAGTTCCAGCCCTTTCTGTTCTGTTTTCCTTCCCCAGTGCTGTTTCTCAAGAGCATCTTTCACTGCCTTCTCTACCCAAACTCTTAGGTATTTGTGTAACACATGGTTCCTGTTCCTTTTTAAGTTTTATTTTGCATTCTTTTTTTATTTTTGGTGGGACTAGGTTTGTACTTGGGGCTTTGCAGTCACAAAGCAGGCACTCTACCACTTGAGCCATACCTCCAGATCACTTTTTTCTGGTTATTTTGGAGTTGGGAGTCTTAAAAACTATTTTCCTGGACTTACCTTGAACCGCAGTCCTCCCAATCTCATCCTCCCAAGTAGCTGGGATTACAGGCATCAGCCACTGGCACGTGGCATTCTTAATACCATTGTTGTTCCATGGTTTCCAAATGGAAACCATGCAGGTGCAGGTTATAGACATATAGATGCCAAGTCCACAAATCCTGACTTGAGACTATGCCCACTTCCACTGCTGTCTTGAGTCAAGGCCATGATTGTTCCTCCTACCATTGACTCCCAGCTTTCAGCATTTGCCCCTCTTCTCCTTTCCTCCATTCCTCACCAACACCTAGAGGGATCTTTTAAAAGCACAAATCTTAACCTGTCACTCTTACTGTTTTCATTACCCTTTCAAGAAAGACCAAGAGCATGATTGGCCCATCTGGCCCTGAAAATTTCTTAGCCACATTCTCTCCAGGTTCCCTCTCACTGAGCTTCAGCCTCTCCACATTCCTTCCATGACATCTTTCCCATGACACTGGCCTGCCTGACTTCCACTTCCCTTCTCTTTCCAGCTTAAAGCCAGTTTCTGCTGGTGTCTTTACCAACACACTCCAACTTTCAGTATTCGTGGTTCAAACTCTCTTGGCACGATGTTACTTTCATTCATTGAACTTGATAAAGTTACAGTTTAGTTTAATAACTATATAAAGGAGCTGGAGGCATGGCTCAAGTAGTAGAGTTCCTGCCTAGTAAGCATGAGGCCTTGAGTTCAAACCCCAGTAGTGCTCAAAAAAAGAAAAAATGTATTTAATGAGGAAGATAGTCACAAAATGTACAGATCCATGTCTTATATGCTCATGTTAATAGCTATTAGAAAATATAATGCAAAAAGAGTTACAATAGCCTTAGAACCATAGCAGCAGTGAAAACCAGCAGCCACCATAGGAAGAAGGATGGATTTATTGCTTTCCAAAAAGTCCCATCCCCAAGTAATTGTCACTACATGAACTGTCTGGATCCTGGGAAAACCCTCTTTCCAGAGTGTTTGATGTTAACATTAGAGCTGCCTGAGTCCTTGATACTACTTGATACTACTTGATAGAGGCTGACCAAAAAGGAAAATGTAGGGAATGAGACACCCATGGTGCTCTTGGAAAAGCTGGTATTCCTGGCAATCCAGAAAGATCCGGGGACTATGTGCATACCCAGGAGGGATCTGTAAGAGTGACTATCTTGGGTGCATTGAGGCTCTGTGCAGGCAAGAATTTAAGGCTAATGCAGAGCTGTAGACTGCACACCAGAATATTGAAAACGTGCTGTGTCATACACAGACTCAGTCAGCAAGGAGTGGGAGACCAATTGGCTCAAAATATTTAAAGGCACCTCTTTCCAATCAGCTGACCACATCAGTTCACCAAGCAAAGACTTCAAAGAACACAGCTGTACACAAAGCTATTCAAAGAAAGCAACAGTAAAGCCCATGGAAAGGAGGCAGGATTTCATTACAGAGCTAGCACACTATGTTGTGTAAAATATCCAATTTTAAATGCCCCTAAAAAAAATAAGACATAAAGAAATAGTGAAGTGTGTGCCACATGCAAAAGGGGAAAGAGTGGAAACCGTCCCTAAGGCTTAGGGCAGAAGACCTTAAATCGGCTATTGCAGTGTGTTCAAAGAAATGAAGGAAAGTGTCTAACAAACTAGAAGGATGTTCGAGAAGGCACCTCTGCAAAATAGAAAATAGCATTAAAGGAAAACCACTGCCAGGCTCTGATGGCTCACACCTGTAGTTCTGCCAATTTGGAAGGCTGAGATCAGGAAGATTGCGGTTAGAGGCCAATCCAGGCAAATAGATCGTGCAACCCCATTTCCAAAATAACCAGAGCAAAATGGACTGGAGGTGCAGCTCAAGCAACAGAGTGCAGCTTTGCAAGTGTGAAGCCCTGAGGTGAGTAGCTTCTGCACATGTCACCTCCACCATGACATTCTGCCTTACCTCAGGCCCAGAGTCGTTGGAGCTGGGGACTCCGGACTAAAATCTCTGAAACTGAGCCAAACAAATCCTTCCTCTCTTTAAGTGTTTTTCTCAGGTATTTGTTCATAGCAACACAGAAGTAACACATCCAATACGAGGAACCAAAAAAATACAGAATGAAGAGAATGAGCAGAGTGTCAATATGTACACCATGGGGGTTCCAGAAAAGGTGGGGAAAGGAGGAGTACCAGCAAAGGGAGGGAGGGAGGGAGAGAAGAAACTTTTTTTTTTTTGGTGGTGATACTGGGGTTTCAACTCAGGGCCTCACGCTTGCAAGGCAGGCACTCTACCACTTGAGCACCACTGTCAGTCCTCTTCGCTTTATGTTCTTCTAATAGGGTCTTGCCTTTATTCCCAGGCCAGCCTAGATCATGATCCTCCTAATTATGCCTCCTGCATAGCTGGGATGACAGGCATGTACCACCATGCCCAGATAATTGGTTGACATGGTGTCTCACTGACTTTTGGCCCAGGCTGACCTCAAACTGTGATCCAATCTCTGCTTCCTGAGTGGCATGGATTACAGGTGTAAGTCACTGGGCCCATCTGAAAACAAGTTTTATGGAAAACTTCACACATTAAAGAAACTGAAGGAAAGCTAAGTAGTATAAGCTTGAAAAGAGCCATAAGTAGTATAAGCTTAAAAAGAGCCACATCTAGATACATTTTAATCAAACTGTTGAAAGTCAAAGACAGATAAAGCAGCTCTGGAAAGACTCCTCACATGTTTGTCAGTAGGACAGCTGATTCTTGTCAGGAACCAAAGAGACCAGAAAGAGAGGGATGGCAAATTCAAAGTGCTGAAAGAAAGACTGTCAGCCAGACTCTGTCTCCAGCAGCAACTGTCCAAAAATGGAGGTGAAATTAAGGCATTGTCAGTTTCTTTGTTTTGAGACAGTCTTACTGCGTACCCAGGCTGGCCTCAGACTCTTGATTCTCTTACCTCCACTTCCAGAGTGCTGGAATTACAGGTGTGCACTATCATGCCAAATGTCTCATTAAGAAAAATTTATTGCTAGACAACATGCCTTAGAAGAAATACTAAAGGAATAAATGTTGCTTTTTATCTTTGGATGTCTCTTTGACCTCTAAAAAGCCTCTTCTTTAGACATTCCCAGCTGTTCTGTGTTGTAGTATCTCTGAGTCTGGGAAACATTGAAGTCTAGTAGTATGGAGCTCAGTCCTAGAGTCAGACAGCTCATGTCCAAGCCCTACGTCTGGCCCATGTGGCTTGGGGCCATGGGTGCCCAGCAGCAAAGTAGGTACAGCCATCATGCTTATCCAAAAGTGCAAAGCAAGTGCTGAGGCAAAGTGAGACTGTGCCTGCTGGGTGGGACCTGGCACAGCTTGGGTGATTCTGAGCCATTTTGCTGCCAGTCTCCACCCACCCTTGCACTGGGATGTGCTATCCTCTCTTCCTGTTCCACCAGACCTTCACCAGCACATCCTTCCCCACACCCTAGCTCACCTGCATGTAGCACTAAGAACAGGTCCTCAGCTCCCTTTCTTGAGGTCACACATCTGCTGCTTGTGTGTTCCTGAAAGGGTGACTTGTAGCAAGGCCACACCTGGCCTCCTTTATTCACAGTGCAATGAGGCAGTCCAGTTTATTATTATTATTATTATTATTATTATTCATTGTGTGTAAAGTACACATAGAAATCCTAACTTTCCTTCCTTGATCTTTTGTCACAAGCTAAGCACCCTGTGTAACCCACACCTAGCAGAAGTAAGGGGACCCCAGCATCCAGGTTGCCTGTCCTCCCACCCTAACGACTATCCCTGCAGACTAGTAGTGTCCTCATCTTTTGAGCTGTACACAAATAGAATCACACAAAGGGTTCTCATCCATGTCTGGCATCTTTGTTCAACATTGTTTTTGGGAGACAGTGTAGTGTCTTTTAACAAGATTTGCAAAAGCAAAACATAAAGGACTTACCCTTGGTATCAGAAGTGGCCACATTTAGACCCCAGAGGCTCAAATCAGACCAGTCATCCCCACACCACACACAGATCCACAAATGCATCCTAACCTGTAGGAAGGAAGGACTCCTTTCCCAAAGAGACTTGCCTCCTTCCCAGACTTTCTGCCCTGATTTTCTTTACCAGAGTCACCTCCAGCTGAGGCAGAACTTGAGATCACTGCAGGAGAAGCCAGCAGTGCCAGCTCCAATACGCACAACTTGGCAACTGGTCATGTAAGTGGACAGCTCCTTCTGCTCTGAGGAATGCTACTGAGGACCCCACAGGCTGGGCCAGTCACACCATAGCAATGCCAAGGCAGTTTGTTCAGGAAGGCTTCCTGCAGTGCATGATGAAGGTAACAGCCTTTGTGAATCATAGGGTCAGACAACAGGCTCTTCTCAGTCCGTCACACAGTGTGCACAGCACACAATTACACACAACACACTAAATATGTGACACAACATACACTCAACCCACACAGTATATACATGACTCAATATGCAACATACACATTACACAAAGACCCTACTCAGAAAGACACAGCATATAACGTGTGCTTAACACCTGGCACAGTATACACAGCATACAACACATTACAGTCATACTAATGCAATACACAACACATGTACATGGAATACACACTTTGTGCTCCACACATACATAGACACAACACAGTTCTTATGGTATATGTACAATACATACAAAATATGTAACACTATACACACAATGCACAATACATAATAGAACACACAACTCAGACTACATACAACAGAGAACACAAAGATATGCAATTTACACACAATTTGATGTCACATCCAGACCACCACACACTACTTACTCAACAACACATATGGATAATACACAACACAGAGAACACAATATACACAAAATCACATGTGTTCAGCCGACAGCACACAGTAAACAACACACACACACACCCTTTGGTAAAAAGGGAAGTCTTTTGTTCAGAGTTACTTCACAGCATCAGGTTACCCATAAAGATATTTATTTACTAGGAGTGAATATGACAGCCCACAGCACAGGCGAGGCCTGCCAAGCTTGAATT